GTTTGAGATCATATTATATATTATACAAATATATAATATGATCATATTTAGAGTCATATTGTCACAGAGTTATTTATTAAAAAAATATTATATATTTAAATAAAAGAATAAAAAACGAAAAAGGCTTCTATCATCTAATAAAATGATCAAATCTAGAATTAATATCAAAACACTAAATTTTGAAAATAAAAATAAAAAATAAAACAGAAGCATGAAAGAAAAGTTTTTATATTCTTCCATATTTAGTGTTCATCAAACCAATATGTCTTCGATTGAACACAACTCTATTTGTTTAAAGATAAAAAAAAGTTGTAAAGAATTTCAACTAATTGTTGTCCATCAAATTTATAATCTTTACTTCAATTTAATTACTGTTAAAAAAGCAAAAGATCAAAATAAGAAGTCTTAGTTGTAATAAATTTTTAGCTATTTACAAATTATAATTATAGTTCAACTCATGTAACAGATAGATATTCATGCGTCATTATAAATATATACATATTTACATGTTTCAGTTTAATCGATTATAAATCAAACCATATCCAAATCATATGGTTTTTATAAAATCACATTTATTCGGTTTGTATGGTATATACCAAAAATAACCATATTATCGATTGTTAATATCTTTTAAAAATATAAAATTAAAAAAAGAACTAAGATATTTAAATCATTGATAATAAAAAATTTTAATGTGAAAAATTTAATAAGTTTATAATTTATAAATGTTCTTGAAAATATTTTGAAAATTTTGAAATTAAAATATTTATGTAATCTTATATGGTATATAGTTTAATCTGTATATATATATTTGTTTTATTATTGAATGATACTTTTTACTTATATAGTTTTAAAATCATGTATATCTTTTTATAATAAAATTTTAAACTATTGATCATTAATTTTTAAGATAATAATTTTAATAGTTTAGTTATTTATTCTCGTTTCTTAAAATNAAAATATTTATGTAATCTTATATGGTATATAGTTTAATCTGTATATATATATTTGTTTTATTATTGAATGATACTTTTTACTTATATAGTTTTAAAATCATGTATATCTTTTTATAATAAAATTTTAAACTATTGATCATTAATTTTTAAGATAATAATTTTAATAGTTTAGTTATTTATTCTCGTTTCTTAAAATTCAAAATATAACCTATACGAAAATATCTAAAGTTTAATTTTATAGCTAATTTGATTGTTTAATTTATTTTAATAATATAAAATTAAAGAAAAATGATGAAGGATATATAAAGTGTTATCAAATATTTATTATTAGAATCATTAAGTGTCATATATATATATTAATCATTTATGGTAATTCCGTAGGTTTTATTTATGGAAATAAAATAAAATAGTAAATATATCTTAGGGAACAATCATTAAGTGTCATATATATATATTAGTCATTTATGGTAATTCCGTAGGTTTTATTTATGGAAAGAAAATAACATATCATATCATTATATTATATAGTTTGACTAACTAACGTATCTAGCAACCTATAAAAATCCAATGTGAACTTACTTATTTTTCAATTGAATCTAATTGACTACCTAATTGAATGACACCTATGCATTGGGGCCTCTTTTAATTAATACAAAATTGAGGTTATATCTTTTCAAATGTTTCTCAAATAATATATAGGGGATATAAATCTAATTACATAAATAATTAATGACAATCGTGTGTATTTAACTGTTACAGCCTCCGGTTTACTTGCAAACTATGCAGATCCATCCACTTCTCTCTATTGGTGATAACTGTCAGGTTTAATCACAATTTTTTTTTTTTAACACCGACATATTTGTAGGTTCCTTTTCTTCTAACCAATTATATACTGTACGTTTTTTATATTGTGATAGTAGACGATTTGAATGGAGTAATACAGAATATACACATGCTTTATATATTTCACAGTATAAGAAACGGCTACATTTTATAGATAGAAGGAATAAATGTATATGTTTTATCTTTTCTAATAATATCATAAATAAGAATACAAGTGGTTCTATATAATTATAACATTCATGTTTTGAAAAATATTAATGGGATATTCAAAATTATACGATATTCCAAATCCAAAGATATTTCAGCTGAAAATTGAAAACATATGATACTACATTTTTTTGTTAGACTACCTCTTATGTCAAGTTTACATATTATTTTAAAATACAGAAAAAAACACAAATCTATTTTTTTAACAAAAAAAAAACAAAAATCTATATGTTATCAATAGTAGTAAAAAAATAGTGCAACTTACTTTAAAAGTACATCTAAATAATTATCTAAATATACCACCTAACCAATTTTGATAACCACCTTCTAAATATACCACGTAAAGTCCTCACTTATAAATACTTCAATTAAAATATTTTTTTATAACTGCATCTAAATTTTCTGAACTAGATAACATCTAAATATATAATATAACTATTTTTGATAACCAATTGAATAAAAATTCTATATTATAGGGTTACTTATATAGCAAGAAAACTAGAATTTAAATATAGTTATTTTTTTCGTTACTCCTATTTGTAACCTAATGATATGACCCATATATAATTTATATTTTCAGTATTTAATATAGGCTTTGATTTTGTTTAGAAGAAAAAGGAGTTAAAACAACTCAACTTTAGATTTTGTTTTCAAGGAATAATACACAAAATTAATGTGTAAAATATCTATGGCATAAGTATATAGTTATGTAATATCAAAAATTCAATATAATTATCAAAACCTCTTGCTAATAACTAAAAACAAAATATTTTACACAAATATGAAAATTATATTTCTAAAAAGATGTATAACAAAAAAAATATACTTGTAATTTGGGAGGACGGATCAGAATTTACTGGTTAGTTAAAAATTTGTTAGCTAAGCCTAACGTGGGTTAAGAACCCAAATATGTAATATTAATGGGCCATGAAGAAGGTCTACCCATGATCTTATAATTATTAGTTTGGAATATATTTTATATAAATTAAAACAAGAAAAAGTTGATATCCACAAAAACAAATGAAAATAGAGATAGGATGTTTAATAATTAAAAGAAAAGAAAACATAGTTTTTTTAGAAGTTGTATTATTATTATTTTGCCTATGTGATAGATAATATGAATGAGGCAACTTCAGAATATAAGAGGATCTAAAGCTAATTCCTTGAAAACTCTAAGGTAACCACTACGTGTACGTGTAGGTTGCTGCATGAAATTATCAATGACTTCATTAATGAAATGAAAAGACTGATGTTTTGAAAAAGACTACATTTATAAATAAATTTGTACAATATTATAATTGGAAAAGAAAAAAGTATAAAAGACTAGTTTGCCCGTGTGAGGTCGGCCAAGGCGAGGTCGACGCAGACGAATACGCCAGGTGTCGTTAAAGAAGGGAACAATCCAAGCTGGATCTGTTAATGCCACGTAGTTGCTCAATCATTTGTCAGCCTCATGGGGCCTATCTCCGTGATTTCGACCGTCATTCTCCTTCTCTACCGTTTCACTAGTTTCCTAATTTTTCTAATTCATTTCGAAATTTGGAGGACCAAGCATTTTATACTATTTCTGTTTGAAATGCACAGTGTGGCAATAACACTGTTCTGGAAAGTGAATCGTAAATCCTTTCTTGCTGATTTTTTTTTTTTGAATCTGGAAGACAAACGATTTTTAAGAAGAATTTCTTTTATATAACCAAAACAAACAAATTTGCATAAGATAAAACGGATTATTTAAAATACTATTACTAACGCACAAACGAAAATAATGACATTTCAACACCGACATCGTTGCACGGCACGTTGAGATGCATTCATAAAGAGTTATTTTTCTTAATTTATTTTTTCAATAGTTATGATCTAATATGTTTGAATTGAAATAATGATGGTGTGACCAAAGAAAATGAAAGGAACATGTGAATAACCTAAACCATATTCAAACTATATATATATATGGGTCTATATATATATATACAAACTTGCAATCTTAATCTCCTATGATCAATATAAAGTGCAAGGTTTGTTTCTTTAAGAAAAGGCTGGACCCTGAGGATTTGAGATAATATTGTTTTAGAGTTTTTGCAAAGCAAATGATTGCTTTTCTTGGTAGAAAGAAAGTGAAGTGAATCGAAATTATTGGATATAGTAATTTGGTTTATCTAGGTGTATATAGTAGTATATGCTTTCTCTAATTCAAATCTGGTAAAATACAAGAAGGAAATAAAAGAAGATTCTTACCACCTATGTTATTTACAGTCGTTATTTGGGGTCAAGATTTACGGTCATATAAAGCAATGAAAATCAAAATATTCAAATATTCATGCATGGGGGAAGATCTATACAAAGATTTGAATATGCAAAAATCTTCCAGCGGAGAAAACATACAGATAATGACGTTATTTTTTGTTTGAATATTTTTTTTTTAAATCCGTAGACAGCTAAGCACATAATTTTGATTTGAAGGTAACGCAACTATATTAAGGAAAATTTTAAAGTAAGAAATAAATAATTTCCAAGATTCAAAAAACTGTGGACCGCGACAATACATCGTTCCCAAATTCTTTTCTATAAACCTATCTCAGTTCCCCTCTTCTGTTCTGTCCATTGTCTTCGGGGATCAGAGTGTTTGTGACTCTACTAGAGCTTTGTTTTTGGTTTTTCATTTTGAAAGTCTTTTGTTTCACTCTTCTCCTTTCCTCTTTACTAGATAATAGTGGTAGAGATTGAGGTGCGTTGCAGAGACGAGCTAGATCGCCGGTTTCTCATCGGAGACGGGGGCGTTGAAAAGGGTTTATTCTAAAGAAGCTTCCTACGACTCTCTCTTTAGGTATTTTCTTTTCTCAGACTATTTTCCCCTCAATTGGATCTTGAAAGTGATTATTTCTTTTGTTATGGGTTATCTTTTTCTCTGTTTGATTTAGCTTCTTGAAATTATCTGGTTATGTTGTGCATGATGTTTCTAGTTCTCCTCGTTCTTGGATCCATAAGGCTCTGTTTTGATGTACTTATGTGTCTGTCTGTCTGATCGTTGATTACAGGTGTCTGCACTGTTCATGTAGTCTTGGTTTGATGATCTGATTCTTGGACTGGATGTGAAAATGCAAAGATCACGGAGAGCTCTTATTGTTAGAAGAAAAAGAGCTTATGAGAGTAATTCTAGTGGAAGGAACCGCCTCTACAAAGTTTCATTGTCTCTCGTTTTTCTCATATGGGGCCTTTTCTTTTTATCTACTTTGTGGATTAGTCATGGAAATGGTGACAAAGGTAACCATTAAGTTATTAAAAAAGCTGACTTACTAGCCCATTATTATGAATGATTATGACCTACTAGCAATAATGATTATGAAACTTACTGGTAACATCTGCTTTCAGAGTTCATACAATCATGAATATGTGTATTAAAAGCTTACTCGTGGGCATTTGCAGGGAGGTCTTTAGGACATGGTGATCTAGATGATGCTAGTGCAAATGAGACAGCTGAACATGTTGATGCGCCATCACTACTAGACTCTACATTTGTTCATTCTACTCATGATATACCTTCAACCGAAAGAATCAGAAACGTACACATTATATCGAAGCAAGTAGAAGTCAATAACACAATTACGGAAAATCTCACCGAAAGCAAAGACAGTTCACAAAATGAGATGATTAGTCCAGTGAATAATACAGAGACTAATGCTTCAAAGCTTGATCAGCTACCTCGTGATGTTTCGTTTGGCCTTGACGAGTTCAAGAGCCGGGTGTCCAACTCTAGAGACAAATCTTTGTCTAGCCAAGTCAGCGGCATGACTCACAGGATGGAACCTGGTGGGAAAGAGTATAACTACGCAGCGGCGTCAAAAGGAGCTAAGGTATTGTCTTCTAACAAGGAAGCAAAAGGAGCTACAAGCATCATAAGCCGGGACACAGACAAGTACCTTCGGAACCCGTGTTCAACTGAAGAGAAGTTCGTTGTCATAGAACTTTCAGAAGAAACGTTGGTTAACACAATCAAGATTGCAAATTTTGAGCATTACTCTTCTAATCTCAAGGACTTCGAGATTCTTGGAACGTTGGTTTATCCTACTGATACTTGGGTTCATCTAGGGAACTTTACAGCTTTAAACATGAAGAACGAGCAGAACTTTACATTGGCTGATCCTCAATGGGTGAGATATCTAAAGCTAAGTTTCCTAAGCCATTACGGTTCGGAGTTCTACTGCACCTTGAGTTTGCTAGAAGTCTATGGAGTGGATGCTGTGGAACGAATGCTGGAGGATTTGATATCTATCCAAAACAAAAACATAGTGAGACATCAAGAAGAGCAGAAAGAGAAGAAGGAGAAGAAGCCAGTACAAGATGCAGACTCCTCCGAGTGCGATGAGAACGGGAGTACGGAGAAGGAACAAGAAACCACACAAGAGACTGCAGTTGTGCAAAAGGTGCCTGATCTGATGGAAGAGATAAAACTTCATCAACCAGGAAGCAGAATGCCAGGGGACACGGTCTTGAAGATACTGATGCAGAAGATAAGGTCATTAGACTTGAGCTTTTCAGTGTTGGAGAGTTACTTGGAGGAAATGAGTTCTAGATACGTGAGGATATTTAAAGAGATGGATCAAGAGGCTGGAAAGAGAGAGAAGGAGGTGGCGGTTATGAAAGTGGAGTTACAGGGAATGAAAGAGAGTGAAGTGAAGATGAAGGATGAAGCAACGGAGACAAGAGAGTGGCGGAAGAGAGTAGAGATAAAGCTTGAGAAGGGTGACAAGGAGAAGGAGAAACTGAACGAGAGGTTGGAGCAAGTGTTGGAAAGAATGGAGTGGATGGAGAAGAAAGGTGTGGCTGTGTTCACCATCTGTGTTGGGTTTGGGGCTATCGCGGTTGTAGCTGTGGTTCTTGGGAAAGGGACATGTAGAGCAGGATTGTCTGGTGGCTTAGCTTGGCTGCTGCTGTTGATAAATTCTACTGTAGTTATGTTCGTTTTGTCTCTCTGATGAGATAGAGTTTCTCAATTTTGTTCGTAGTTTCTTTTTATTGTAGAAGTAGTAGTTGAGTCTTTTTTATACAGAAATAAAACATACTAGTTCAAAAGAAGATCAGTTTTGCTATGCACAAAAGTTGCATCTTAATTGAAATCGTAAGGCGAGATATATCCGTGTTTTGAAAATCATGGTTCGAGTTTTTAAGAGTTGGATTTAAATTAAACCAACCCAAAATCAATAAAATTTTGCTAAAATTTATGGTCGTTCAATTAGATTTAAATAAAATTTCAAATAATTTGGTTGGACCGATCTGACCATTAATTCAGTTATAATGTGAAGTGAAAGTTCTCTGATTTTCAAAATGTTAGTTTATACTATCAAACTAAGTATTTTGCTCTATTATGTGCAACAATAAATTATATTTAAAATAAAATTGCTTAAGAATTTAGATTTTATTATTTTCTTACCAACATTTTAATAAAAATTACAATTTAATTAAACATAAAAATTTAGATAAATAATGTTTATTTTGAAGTTTTATTTATTAATAGATATTTATATTATAACCTTAGATATATTTTTATTAATAGATATGTATATTATAGCCTTAGATATTTTTGGGTTATATAATTACAAAATTTTGATATAATTATCAAATCGTAAAAATAAGTAGTATTTTAGAAAATTTTAGATATGAAAAATAAATAGTAATTTATGGTATTATGACTAAAATACATATTATTTGTATAAAATTAAATAATTAGTATATAATTTTTTTAGTAATAACAAAATATGTTAAATAATAGTTAGAGAACTTTAAAATATTTTTATATTTCTATTAATATTTTATTAATAATATATCTGAATATATTTATTTTAATAGTTTTGTATTAGTTATTAATATATTTTAAAAAATTTACCAAAAATATAAAAAATATTAAATATAATTATTCATGTCATAATTAATCGTAAACAATGTCATTTATTTTTTTATTGAGAATAATTGTAGCGAGGGAGAATAGATAAGCAAAATTTGAAAAATCACTTATAAAATAATGTGTTCAAGACATGACCAACTTGGACATGTCTGGTAATGGTTAGCCTCCACCGTGGAGAGGTTTTTATTTTAGTCGAAATTCCCGGTTCAATAGAAGATCAGTTTTGCTGAACCTGAAATTCCCGGTTCAGTAGATACGTATTTACAGATTGTGGTTTTTGTCAACCAACTTGGGGTTATACTTGAAACTGTCATTGACGGTTTTATTTTATGAACCGGTTACGTGGCAGGCCAAGACGCTAAGCCGAGGGAAGGAAAATGGGTTTAGGTCAGAGACTGTAACTAGTCTGGTTTGTTGGTCTGTCTCTCTCTCTCTCGCGGTGTTAGCTAACAGAGAATATGTTCAAGAAGGCGGTGGAAGCGAAGTCTCACCAGCGTCTCTCCGGCGCCGATCGAAAGAAACTCCGACGCAACGTCCAAAATAAGTTTTCTTTCCTCACCGATGAGCTTCTCGACGCCATCCTTCCTCCCAAGGTTTTGTTTTTTTCTTTTATTTTGTTCTTTCATCTGAATTAGAGTTTTTGGATTGATTAGGTTTTGTTTTCTTCTATATTGTTCTTACATCTGAATTAGAGTTTTGTAATGGATTGATTTGGACATCTCTTACTTACTGATGTCTTGTCTAGGTGGAGATAACTGTTTCAAAGTTCCAGAATCGGGTACTTGTCTATAGTATTGAAGGTGGATGTCCTATGTTTTTCGATATTGATGGAAGAGGGAATGAAATTTTACCCACAGGTTTGTATGAATCATATTTCAAGGACAAGACCATCACCATGTAATTGTGATTGTAATTGATGAAGTTTCTTCTTCATTTTGATGCAGTTTTTGCTCTATGGGAGGCTCCGGAGATGTTACCTTCCTTTATGTTGAAAGGAGGTGAGGTTTCAAGATATGTACTTGGGGGTGCAGATTTGATGTTCCCTGGTATTTTGATCCCTCCCGAAGGCTTTCCTTCTTTCTCAGCTGGTGAAATATGGGCTGTTAAAGTTCCTGGGAATATGGCACCTATAGCTGTAAGTCTTTCTTTATACTTGGTTGATGATTAACCTTCTTAACGAACATGAAGTTTTGTATTTATGGTTATGCGTGTTTTTGAAGGTTGGGTTTACTACAATGAGTAGTGCAGAAGCCATTAAAGCAGGTTTGCGTGGGAAGGCTTTACGGATAGCCCATTATTACCGTGACTTCCTCTGGTACATGCTTTTTACGTTTCTGTTTTGTTGTCTCTGGAGGAACTCAGACTCTTACACGCTATAGGTTTGTTTCACAGGGAATCAGCTGAGGGGCATTATGTTCCAAATGCTGGGTTCTGGGAAGATGTTGTCATGGAGGATCCAGCGGTTCTTGCTTCTGCTTCAGGTGAGGAAATTTCAGACGCATCAGCTGAGCAGCAGACAAGCACAGGAAATGAAGAAGATGAATCAGCTTCAACCTCAGCTACTGATGCTAAGAATGATACTGAAGAACATATAGTTGGGAGCATGAATGAGCTGAACTTAGCAGATGACAATTCTGCTAATGAAGCTAACACCGAGAAGCAGAATACTCTCTCCACAGAGGAAGTGGATGCTCTTCTTGACCAATGCCTTTTGCAAGCATTGCACACAACACTGAAGGAGAAGGACCTTCCCATACCAGGAAGCACTCTTTGGTAAGTAGATACTTTGAGTTACTTTGAAAGCAAACTTATTCTAGTAATTGCTTGGAGTATTACGTCCTGATGTATGCTTTTCCCGCTGTACGTTGTTGGGATTGGACTGTTTTATCACACTCTGAAGCCCTGTTCTTGTATTTGTATTACTCTTGAGTCTTAATCACACTCTAAAGCCTTCTCCGTTCTAAGTTTAGCTTACATAGGTTTTTCTTTGGGTGGTGCAGGGCAAATCATGTATTACCTTGTAGGCCTCCTGGGATCACACTAGACATTAAGAAGTCTTCCCATAAAAAACTGTCAAAGTGGCTTCAATCTAAAGCTTCTGCAGGAATGGTTAGTTATCTTGTGACTTCTCCTTGTTTAATGTTATAGAATACGAGTGTATGTAGACTTTCACTTCCAACACCGACTGGTTTATCAATTTGACAACTATAGTTATAAAGTGCTGTCTATCGTATCTCCAAAAGATTTGGTAACACTCATTGGTAGTTTACCATTTAACAATGATATACTGATTGCCACTCTGATATTTTGGACCATATGCGCAGATAACTGTGAAAGAAGACAAGCACAAGAAGGAGATTGTGCTGATTTCAGTGAACCGAAGGCACCCGGATTACTCATCCTTCAAGCCGGAGAAAAAGAAGGCAGAAGTCCCCGAGTCTTCTGTCGCCAGCTCCACAGCACAAGCCCAGTCAGAAAAAATGCTTGAAATCATAGAGGTTTACAAACCAAGCATACACAACAGCGCTATATTTGCATCAGTAGGGGAAGACAAAGGAAAGCTATACACAGCTTCAGAAGCCTCTGATGTCGTGTTCAAATACATCGAGAAGGAAAATCTGGTAAAGCCAACAAACAAGTCAATGGTGGTGTTGGATCCGATACTATGCGATTCATTGTTCAAAGGAGCTATCAAAAAGGGATCAGCATATCCTTCAGAGATTCATAAAAAGGATGTTGGGTCGACCTTCGTAGGGAGGATGCAGCCTCATCAGGTAGTGATGAGAGGCGGAAGTGAACCTGTGGTTCGTAAAGGAGCTATAAAGCCTGTTCAGATAATGACGGAGAGAAGACAAGGTAACAAAAAGGTGACCAAGGTGTCAGGGATAGAGACGTTCTTGATTGATCCTGACTCGTTTGGATCAGAACTGCAGAAGAAGTTTGCTTGTAGTACTTCAGTTAACGAACTTCCAGGTACGTTTTTTAAGTCTTTTCTTTTGTTTGTTTGTGTGCAAGTGAATATTTGAGGGACTGTTCTGTTGTGTTGTTTTACAGGTAAGAAAGGGTACGAGGTTCTGATACAGGGAGGTGTGATTGAAGATGTGGCGAGATATATGGTGGAACACTATGGAGTTCCAAAGAGATTCATTGAAGTTCTTGATAAGACTAGGAAATGATTTCATTTTCTGCTACATCTCTTCTGTTTTACTTTTTCATTTTGTGTTCTAAACTTCTAATTTTGTTTCTGAGGTTACTTTACTCAGTCATGGAGTCTTCAGTTTGCTTCATGTCTTGAGAAAACAATCAGTCATGTATCAAAAAAATGTTAAAATTAATAATCAGTTGATGCTTTAGATGGTCAAAAGACACAAGTTTGGTGGGGATTGGTTTACTCTTGTTTTCAATCGCAATAATTGTGTCTTCATTAGCTCCTAACCTCTTTGTCTTTAGCTCCTAAACGTAGTGTTATTAATGGATCTGGGCTTTGATTATTCCCAAGCCTAACGCGACCGTGTCCATGTTCTTCATCATTTGAACTCTGAAGCTCAAGGCGATGATATAACTCGTTCTTCTGAGGATGAGAACTTGTCCTTGATTACATTCACAAATATCAGAATCACAAAATATCAAGAAAGATCACAAAAATATGTTAGAAGACAACGCAAACCATATATCTGTGACTTTTTTTGAAATTTTGCTTTCTGTAATACATATTGTTTGTTATAAGATTTGACTTGATGGTGAAAACATGAAAAAATGTGAAACTCTTTATATAAAATGTGATTTATCTTCACATGATAATAAATGAGTTATTGGACCACCTATTTTGTACAAGACTTATGTAATTAAAGCCTATTTTTTAAAAAAGCTTATTTTAAAAATATTATCTCACAATGTAGATTAATTAGAAAATAAAATATCAAGAAGAATCACGAATATATGAATCACAAATAAATACAAATCATATATTTGTGATCTTCTTGAAATTTTGCTTTCGATACTACAGGTTGTTTTGTTATAAGCTTTGATTTGATGGTGAAAACAAGAAAATGTGAAACTCTTTATATAGTGAGAGATAGGTTTCCAAAACTTCCAATGTGGGACAAAGTTGAAAAAAAGAGTTTTGGAGTTTGATATTTTTTTTTTCAAATAAATGATAGGTCAGTCGTTACACACACCTTCCAGAATAGTTTATATCTCTCCTCACCTATGAACTTCCAGACGCCATCCAGGTTTGATTTCGGATGGTAATGTGATAGCTTCTCGGTTAGATTGTATTAAGTTTTGTTATGGGTTAGATACTCGAGATAATTGTTTTCACGTTTCAGAATCGTGTTATCGTTTTTCTTTGGGGGCTAAAATCGTGTTATATAGTATTGAAGGTGTATGTCCAATGTTTTTAGATATCGATGGAAGAGGAGGTTTGTAGAATTCAAGATGCTTCACGGATAGTGCCACCATGTATGGAGATAAACCCTAATTGGATAAACCCATTATGAGTTTCTCATTGTGTGTTTTCTTCTTTCTTCTTCTTCTTCTTAATTATGCTGCAGTTTTTGCTCTCTCCTGAGAAGTGTTACCTTCTTTAATGTTGAAAAGAGGTGCGGTTTCACGGTATGTACTAGGCGGTGAAGATTTGACGTGCCTAGCACCTATAGCTGTAAGTACTTTTTTTATACTTGGCTGAAGATGATGAACCTGTTTAGCGAGCATAAAGTTTGTGTATCGAGTTACATGATGGTTATGCATGTTTTTGAAGGTTGTGTGTTAACCACAATGAGTTGTGCAGAAACCCTTAAAGCAGGTTTTGTGCCCATTATTACCGAGACTTCCTCTGGTTCCTTAGATTGTGGTAAGAATTTGTTATTTTAAAGCAGGAACTTGGCTTATACGCTAAAGGTGTGTGTGTTCACTTTTACAGGAAATGAAGAAGATAAATCTTCTCTAGAAAAAACTTGATATTGATGCTAAGAATGATACTGAAGAACATATGGTTGGAAGCATGAATGAGCTGAACTTAATACATGACCTTTTTGCTATTAGTGAAGCAATACCGAGAAGTATGAAAATACTTTTATTCATTCATGAGTTGGGGTTGACAAAATAAACAGTCATGGAGGGAAGAAGAAAATAAACGCTTATCAGAAGACAGAAGTTTTAATTGTGATTTGATGATCTTATCACCATCATCATCAGTAAACGTCTTCTAAACTCTTTGTAATTTAGCTCTTAAAAGATATATTGGATATGGGCTTAATTTTTCCAAAGCCCAACGAGATAGTTGTCTCAACCCACTAGGTCACGGATCTAGCAATGGTCTGCATTGCCTGATCACACACACACTCATCGCTTCGCAAGTGGTGTGACATGACTGACGTTGCATATTGCACCGAAGAATAAAATAAAAAAGTGACAAACAAACCGCCTTTTGATCTCACCAACCACACAACACAGAAGCGCACATTTAAAGAGGCAGAGTGACGCTTTCAACTGCTACGCACACACAAACACATAGACAGAGGATAGAGTGAGAAAAAACATGATGGCTCTTCGTAGACTCTCTTCTTCGTGCCTTAAGAAGCCCATCTTCTTCTTATCTAATGGCCGTTCTATGGTTAATAATTAATATTCTTTTAACACCACTTTTGTAATCTCCTTGTTTTGATTCTGATTCTCTCTTCATGTCTTTGATGTTCAGTCTTCTTTGTCTACTTCGGCTATGGCGGTTTCGGATCGTTCCAGTGTAAATATTTATAAAATAATTATATTGCTGGCGAATTGGATCAGATATGCATCTTATTTCGAGTTTCAACGTATTTTATTTATTTGATTCCAGTGGATAAAGCAACTGAATGAAATAATCATGGCACTTGACTTACCTCACGGCGGACATTTTTCTCATTGTTACAGTTAGAGATGACTAAGCTTTGTGAGATGGTTGAAGAATACGCTAAACAGTTCCAAGCTATGGGGTTTGAGAAAGAGACTATGCAATTCAAAGAGTAGCTTTCATTCATCAATTTGAAAATCGACATACGTTTTCACAAAGCATTCACAATGGTTCCAAAGAGATACAATGAAGTTCTTGATTGTAATAATTTCATTTGCTACCTTTATTTTGCTTTTCTTTTCCTACATTTACTCTTTTACTTTTCAGATATGAGAATAAAAGTGTTTGTACTTTATAAGTGCAAAACTACACCTACATGTGAAAATGAAAGAAAGTATCAACTAAAAATAAGATTTATGAGTAACAATAGTTGAGAAAAAAATAAGCTATGGAATGTTAAATGTTCATTAAATTATTTAAGTAATAAATTGTTCTTTAGCTCATAACTTCTTTGATCACAGCAAAAAATGCAAAAATTGTTAAATAAAATGTCTACGTTTAAACGGTCTTTTACTTTTATTAATGCAAACTAGCTGCATAACCCCCGCGCAAGCGCGGACCGGGATCTGTGTTTTTTTCGGTTGTTGGTTTAGTGGGTTATTCTAATAATACCAAATAATGATGAAATGGAAAGAATGTAGCAAGAGTGCAAAGTGAAAATATTGTATATACAATGTGTTAAATGTTATTTATATGTGAAATAAGGTTTATAGGAATAACTAAATTATAATATAGTTTTTAGTATATAAAAATAGATGTCTATATTGTTTTTTTTTATGTTGGAAATAGTTTTTATATCGGATGTCAAAACTTGATATAAATATTTATTTATATAGTATTTATATTTGTACTAAACGATTTATCAATTTGAAAATAACTTTAATTTAAGCTAATATTTGTTGTTTGGGTTTCAATAGATAGGTTTGGATATGTTTTTTTGTAAATTTGGATTTTGTTCATGAATAATGTGGTATTTTTATTTACGGCGTCATCGACTGTGGAAATCCATCTGCGGGAGTCTGATAAAAATGAAATTATAGTAACTATTAAAAATAAATTTTTTTAAAGTGTATTCATTGTTCATAGTCATTTTAAAAAAAAACTATAAGCTTTTAAAATTTAAACACGCGGGGCCCACAAACTTGCTGACGTGGATAGCTTTAGGAGTGAACTATTATAATATAGATTGTACATTTGTGAAAATAAAATGTAAATTAAAATTATGAGTAATTCATTTTTTTTTTTGGTAACATGAGTAATTCATAAAAAAAAAAAAAAAAAACATGAGTAATTCATTATATTTGACCAAATACCTGCTGAAATCTATTGAATGTTGGTTCATTAAAATTAAATTTCCAAATAAATAAATTGATAACAAAAGATACACAAGTTTGATGGTGATTGGTCAACCTTTTAAAATCGTAATAAATAAACTTACTTTCACTCTCACTAAACATCTCCTCTCTGACCTCTCTGATCTTTACAGCGAAATGGCGATCTTCGAGTGGCGGCGACAGAGAAGACGACGACTACTCGACGGCGGCGGAGGAACTCGCCGTCGTCTCCTCTTCAGACCATTATACTCGAGAAAACTCAAGAGAATGATTCTATTCGCGGTTGTATTCTTAGCAATCGTCCCTCCTCTCTTCTTCCACTTCAAGCTCCGACGAATTCGCCAGAACGTCGCGAAGAAATGCGATTGGCTTCAGAGTCCTCCACGTGTCTGTGCTCATGGCGGCGATTCCACCTTAGCTTTCCCCAACACTGTATGTTTATATATATACACTTCTCGAATCGAATCGATCATGTTCTCTCTTCTTAACACACTCTTATCATTGCAGATGGATGCTTACAGTTACGCGATTCGTTCTCGGGTTGATTGCATTGAAGTCGATGTTTCTCGTTCCTCCGATGGTGTTTTATTCGCACTCCACAATAGGTTACATTCTCTTCTCCTTTGTAATCGTTTTTGTTTGTTTTGTTTGGATTCTCATAATCATTGGAGATTGTTCTTAATTGCCTGATCACATTGCACAGTCAGGGATCTGCAGCGTATAGCTCGTAACTCTTCTGTACAAGTCGGAGATCTCAGCATGAAACAGGTCTCATCATCTCTATTTACTAATCTTTTTGGGATAAGCTTTTGCGTCTCGATTTAAAGTTGTGATTTTTTTTGGCAGATCAAGGAACTTGATGTCTCGCAGATTGTTAAAGGGAGCTTGGATAATCGTAGGATTCCTACACTTGAAGATGCTTTAACTGTAATGCCTCAGATTGTTAACTTTTGCTTGTTATTACTATCTTCTCGTGGTTTGCTTTTGTGATTTTTGCTCAGTGACAAGCGTTATTTTAATGTTCAAATCATGTAGGCGATATCAACTTCAGTCCGGCGAGTGATTCTTGATGCTAAAGTCGGACCTCCAATGTATGAAAAGAGACTCGCTCAAGACATTCTCTCTGTTGTAAGTACTCGCAGCTCTTTGTACCTATAAAACTTCAGTATTTAATTTCACGAGATCTTATATTGTTCCTTGTCAAATGTCTACAATAAAGTCAGAAATAGGTTTTTGATTCCTTGTGAGCTTTCTGAAATCAGCTCTCTCCTTGTATCTTTGTACCTATAAAAGCTTTAGTATTTAATTTTCATGAGATCTTATTTTGCTCCTTGTCAAATGTCTACAATACAGTCAGAAATAGGTTTTTGATTCCTTGTGAGCTTTCTGAATCAGCTCTCTCCTTGTATCTTTGTACACATAGAGCTAGAACTGCTGTTTTAAATACTTTGGAAACAGAGAATGGGATCGTTGTTATGCTCTGCCTCTACTTTAATGTTGGTGTTTCTGTCTTTGTTTACCTGAATCATCAGTCTTATTTTGTTATTAGATTGAGAGAGCGCAGTGCAAGAACTGTATCGTATGGGCCAAAAGCGATACTTTGGCTAGGGACCTAATCAGACGTGCACCACATCTTACAGTAAGTAGTAATAGAATGTGAGGATCGGATAGAGAAGCTATAAGACGAAATGTGATTTGATCTTTTTTTTTTTTCTCTCTTGGCAGGTAGGATACATTGTGATGCTAGATCCTTTGACAGGGGTGAGAAACAGACTGCTGAGAATGAAGGGAGCTAGTGTTGTTGGAGTCTATCATCCCTTGATCGACGAAAACTTGATCACAGTTGTGCATCGGTAAGCGATAAAAATCCAATGTTTTCAACTAACTCACCGTTCGTTTTCCATGTGTTTACAATACCTTGCTTGATCCGATGAACAGGAGTAAGAAAGAGGTTTACGCATGGACTGTGGATGAGACTGATCCAATGAAAAGGATGCTTCACTTAGGTGTGGATGCAGTTGTTACGAGCAATCCAGCTATGTTTCAGGGTCTCATGGAAGATCTTAGAACTGAGTGTCTTGAAGAAGGCTTTTCAATACGGTCATGATCAATTTCTGGTTTAAGCAACAGAGAACTGATATTAGAATCACCTTTAGGCTTCAAGTTCCATGTCTCAGTTTGAGGTAAACTTTTAGCATTTTTATCCGATTCATAAAACTCGAGAATTCTTAAAGATTATATAGTATGATTGACAAACGCACATCTAACTAGTAAAAATTCTTATTAAGTTCTTTCACGTTTATGTTCTTTCACTAGACCAAAGTGTCTGACAACTATATAGTAAAACAAGTAAAGAACAAAGAAGCAGCTTCCTAAATCAGAACTTGTAATACAATCATGACTCGGCTGTAACACATTTGAGATCTTGATGAAGTGCATTATGGGCAACCCCAGGCAGCAAAATTCTGAACACTGCATAATGGTGATTTAAACTCTTTTCTCCTTGCAGTCTATGAACACTCCCCAGACCCCCTGCTGTGGGATTTGGAAAAGCATAGAAGATTCGTTTTATTCTTTGATGCACAAGCGCCATAGCACACCTTATATATACACAGGAAAACAATTAACATTTTTTTATAAGATTACCAAACTTGCTGTTGGTAAGAAAGAGTATGTAGAAACTCACATTGTACAAGGCTCCCAAACCAAGAAAATGTCATAACCGGTGCAGAGGTAAGGCTTTTCTATTAAAGGATCTCTAAGAGCTTCCTTGTTGTCATTGTGTACCTATCGGTGAGACACAAGAGTGTAAAAGAGTATGCTTTACTATCAAAGCACTTGGAGAACATTTAAATATTCTTGGTTAGGATGAACTTACATCTGCACAGTGACTGTTTGTTTTCTGCTTTTTAGCTGGACAATCAGCATCTGAGGGCTGAGAATGATTGTTAATAAAACTATCTGTTGAGTTGGGAAACAGATACCTATCTCTTGCAGAAGATGATTCAATGGCAACCATAGAAGCATGCTTTAGAGGGTGCCATTTGCTTTCATCGTCATGTGACTGCAAACTCCACTGCCAAGGATTCAGACAAGCAACAGTTGACAACGAACTATTCAGGTTTTCAAGTATGCCGTTTAAGCACATCTCTGAGCTAGCGTCAGTCACTGTGTCAATACTCTGACAGTGGTCAGATTCTCCTCTTTCCTTGAAAGACTTGGTCTCTGCGCTAGTCATGTCGCCAGAAGCAGACGATGGATATACTTGATCAGTTTCACTAGCTATTATCCGCTTAACCGAAGGATCAACTATCACTGCAGCATTTACAATCTGAAAAAATACATCAGAAAGTTCTGTGAATGGTAATAAGAATAAGAAAAAAAAGAAAAAGATATGGTTCAAGTATAGTAGATATAAATGAAAAAAAAAAAAAAAAGCTGGGAGATTTGCAACACCATAAAGGGAAAGTTAACTTAAGTCAAATACTCACTTCAATGTTGAGTATTATTATAAGTAGAGCTAGCAACATTCTTCATATTTTAAAATTTCAAAATCATTAAAATATTTAAATAGAGTTTTTAAATAGTAGAATTAGATGATATAATCATATGTATAAAGTTTTTTTTTGAAAAAAATGAGATTTAATAACCCAAATCGATGTTTGAATGTTCCATACTCTCACAAGAGCGCGTGAACCCCCAACATCAGCAATTCGTAATGTCCTCTCTAATCCAAATTACACGATTTGAGATTTTTTCGTTTTTCTCTAAAAAAATGCGGCGCGTCCCTTGGGTTTTCTCATTCATACCGAAATCTCAACCATATGTATAAATTGATTTCGGTACGTGATCAGAGACCGGTTTAGCTCTGAATTCATCTTTCTTTCAATCTAAACCGGTCTATTCACGTACCGATTCCAACCCGGTTCAACCTCTTTTGTACAAGAATCCTAAAAACCCGCGAAGAAGAGATGCGAATCAGTCATAAACACAATCAAACACCTTCCTTCCTTCCTCAACCTCCATCGCCGCTGCTTCATCACTCCTCAAGCTCGTTTCCTCCTTCCTCTCCTCCCTCGCTTCTCCTCCAAACCCTCTCAGTGTCAACATCTGCCACATGGTTTGCCTTTTACCGGTTTACGACAAGTTGAAAGAAAGATGAATTAAGAGCTAAAGATTTCAACTTTGGCTTCGGATTAGGATTTCGATTACGAGGAGACATTAGAGGGAGGGAGAATGGGTTAGTGTAGTTCGGACAAGGTCGTATAAAGAATCAGTTTCTGTCGAGATCAAGCTCATTGAGGGACTGTGAGTCACGTGCGTTTGATGAGCGAGCATGTTGTAGTAGTTGAAGCAGAGATAAGTTCAAAAGATGCTTTCTCATCTTCCATGAGATTGAAAGGTGAAGACTTTCTTGTGAATTTCGAGACGACGGCTCTTTGTTTCTGGGATTGCTAATGGATGTGCAGAGAGGATCTTGGACATGGGTGAGAGTGTGTTAGAGGAAAAGTTTAAAGGGAATACTGTTTTTTTCGTTATTGCTCAGCTACTTACCGTTTGAGTCTTATCTTATAGTATATATCATCAAAACATTTAACTTTTCGTGGAATTGATATAAGCAGGCTAGATCTGTAGTGTTGAGAACTCGGTTCTTGTAAGAATGAGAGATGTGTTGTCAGGGAAGCGAGGGATTGTGTGTGAGAGGAGTTAGTGTCCATGTATGGTGGAGCCAATGAGAAAAGCACAGAGCTGAGCAGTTGTTGAAGAGTTTAGATTTGTGTATGCTCTATATCAACAGAGAATAATCTCAACTTTTTCTACTCATTGTGATTTGTGACAGGGTGGTGAATGACAATCCCACGGAGCGTGTGATGGGACTCCCAACTACTAGGAAGTTAGCAATGAAGAAGAAGATTTTGTTTGGGACAGGTGATAGGTGGGGGGGGCTCCTACGTTGACTGCTAACATGGGGTTTGGTTAGAGCCGTGGCTCAGTCTGGCATGTCTCTCCCTACCATTCACCATAGCCCTCGTGCTCTCACTGGTGATTAGCCAAAGTTCAACTTCTACTTATTAGCCAAAGATACAATTTGGTCGACGAACATCTTTCTCTAAGCAGTAAAACTTCATATCTACATTATGTAGATAAAAGGAAGGAGCAAAAATACTTACTGTTTTATGACCACATACGGCCAGATCAATAGCAACTCTCATGAACTTGCAGATTGATTGTGTGTCCTCCTCACTGAATCCACCAATGCCATCTATATTGCTACCAAATGCAAAAGAAAATAGTCAGTGAATGCATTATAATGCTATCACAATGCATACAAGAGCACACCTAGAACTCATGAAGAAGTAGGACTGTTCTAATAGAACTAAATAGGCAAGAAAAGACATGATGCTTACTAGGTTGGTGGATGAAACGAAGTTGGCCATAGTTTACATTGTTCTTCCCACTCTTCTTTCGACACGGCAGCATATTTGCAAACCTATCATAATTATAACAGAAAGATCAGATCAATAAGCAAAATCTTTGACTCGGTTCTACAAAAAAGTCTTTAACAAAAGTGTTGTGAGACTGAAAGAAAAATGAACCCACTTCTGTAATAAAAGGACTCAACTCATAGGGATCAACGAGTTTCTGTATATCAGGTGGCATATCGTCATCGTTGTCCTCAGGTGCTAGACATAAGATGACAGTTAACTGAGGTTCACCTGTCCAAAAAGCTTGCAATCAAGACCATATAACTTTGATGTTTAGTGTATCACTTAACCAACAAAACTAACAATGGAGGGATAGGGATACCATGATCTGGAAGAATCTTTTTCCGCACCCTTTTAACATGACGAAGATCTTCTAGAGAAGCAATCTTACATAAGTGCCTATCATAACAAAGTAAACAAAAAAAAAATGCTCTCATTAGAAAAAACTGAGCATGAGATTAATCAGAGTGGAAACAACTAATGACAAACCTCACTATGGTATTGGCAAAATTAGGTTTAATTACACTCGCATACACCTTCACTGTGAAACAAAAACACACAAGCAGAAGCTTGAAAAGAAAGAACCTTTTGAACGATCAAATCCAAAATGAGAAACCAATCAAAGAGATTGAAAGCATACAAGTGGGCTGATGCTCAGGTGAGAATGTAGGCTTATCAGGTATATGTATGATCTCCCATGCATCTGAATCCATTCCTTACCTCAGCCTGATCTGTATATATTTCATAACAAACATTATAAGAAGTGAGGAGAAGAAAGACTCCAACTTTCTCTGTGGGACTTGCAAAAGGTCCTAACTTTATATTACATAAAACCAAAAACTTCAACTTTTCAGATCAAAGTCAAGCTTCTCTAAGCACTACATGAACAGCATTATCGAGTTCACTAGTTAATTAAATTCCAAAAGGAAGAACTCACACGGGTGCAGTTCCAGAAAATATGATAAATCGTAAATATTGGCTATTCATCAGAGAGAATATATTAAATAACTCACCGTGGAGCTTGGAGGGATAGGTTTCAAGTAAGGAAAGAGACAGAGACGCCGAGAGCTATAGAGAGAGTTCAGCAAAAGGTTGAAGACAAGAGTACCTTCAAGAACGACGTCGTTTTTGCTCCATGAGGTAGCACTACTTAAAACGACGGCGTTTTGTTTCATGACGTAGCACCTCTTGCAACGACGACGTTTTCATTTTTTTATTTTATAACACTGATGAGTTTGAGAGACAAAGTGATACATAAAAGAAGACGAAAGAAGACAAAGTGAAATGCCAGTAGACATAAAAAATGTAAGATGATAGAGTCACACCGGTGTATTTCGGGCAATATAGGATTGATGCCAAAAATCGCGAATAATATTCTCATTGCGGTTCGGGAGAACATGTTCTAGACACCATGAATCTATCCTTACCAGGAGAAAGGATATGTTGTGGCAAATATGGTTGAAAGAATGTTGATCAGAGGACTTCGTGAGAACATCATTCAAACCCTCTGAAATCGTTTCAAAAATAATATTTGAAAAATATAGATTCTGTAAACATTCCACCGCCCAAAAGAGAACTCACAAGTCGACCTCTGTTTTCATCTACTGAAATTTGCATCTACTGATGACTGAAAATTTGAAATCGATTAGTGCAAATTTTTAACGTTATTTCCTCATCCTTTTCTCATCTTTTCGTTTCAAATCTTTAGCAATAGTGAAACTGTTGATTACACTCAAGCCGAGAGAAAGAAGGAAGACTAAAATGGGATTAACAGTAGCAAAACAAAAACGTCTCAAGAATACATCATATAACGCATAACAATGGCTTTAAGATTCACTTTTAAAGATCTCACTGTCTTACACACTCTCTCTTCATAAGCAGCTAACGTATCTTATCTTTTAGAAAGTCTTTGAGTACTTCCTGATCTCGAACATTATAGACTGGATGGAGACAAGATCCTTGTTCAGACCAGATCCACCAGGTATCTTCTTGATGCAGTCTGTAAGTCTTGTGTAATAGAGCAGCAGCTGTGTCAATGCAGCTCTCAATATCTCCATACCACACAAGAAGTTACTGAAGGAAGTTATGATATCTTTGTGCATCAACTCTATCGCTGTCTTCCACCTGCTTCCAAAGTCTTTCACCAGCGGATCTACCTCAGCAACTGTGATTGATCTCTCCGGATTTGAGCTTGAATCCTCAGCTGTACATGTTTTTTTATAGTTAAGTGTTTGCTTTTGACTTAACAAATGATGAGTGCGAGGACAAGAACGAAAGTAAGTTGCTTACAAGCACGAGATTTCACAAATTTGATTAAATCACTGAAATGCTCCACCAGCAATTCTTCCTGCGAGATTTAAGCAAGTGAAGAAAATAAACTAAATGGACAGATAATAACCCATGAACTAGCATGGTTTGATAAAGCTCTGCTTGTGTTAACATAGGAGAAAACATATAAGGTAACATAACTTCAAACTTTTTAATATAAACTGCAACATTTGCACTTACCACGAATAACGAAGTGTTGCTCTTTAGTAATTCCTCGAAATGCATTTGGATTTTACCACCTTCTGGTCCAGCTTCCTGAAATTAAGATACATGAAGATGTTTCACAATAGTTGTTTCCTTTGGTAGGTAAGGGGCTCAATCGATATAAATGAAAATTAAGGCATTTCAAACCACACAAAGACTGGTCTACATGGGTGTACTTAACAAAGATTTAACTCACCTTCAGTACAGCAATTGTCATGTCATAGTTGTTTATGAGAAACACAATTTGCTGCTTTGGCCTTGGGAACAACTTTGCAAGCTTGAGAATCAAGACATCTACAGCCATTCTTAAACGTTCCAAATTTATATCAAGCTGCAAAGTACCATAGGCAATGTCAAGCGCTTTGAGTGACAAACTCCAGGTAACACGTATCGGTAGAAAGAGAAGGAATGATATTAACGAACCTGCCCATCGCCATATTCAACATTCAAGTGAATAAACGAAGCTGTGAATTCAGCATAGCGCCTCATTACATAGTGAGGATGAACATCATCTTCCCATAATGTCTTTATGTTTGCATCTCGCAGACTGCTGATGTGTGAATCAAACACCATTTTGAAACGCGGCCATAAAGATATATTAACCTGCTCAAATTGCAAAATGACAAATAATTTCTGTGAGGAATATGGAACGTAAGAAAATCGGCCATGGCCGCATCTAAGAGCTATACCAGAAAACATAGAGTAACCACAGTATAATGACATTCTTTTGGCTTCAGTTGCAAACAACCTATGTATTTAAGACAGAATAAAAGAGATAAGGAGTTATGACCTTGTCCAAATATGAATCTAGGCATGGAATCCCCCGGCGAGACATGATAAGCTGTGCAACAGATAGCAAACTGAGTATTACATAAAACACATAGTTGGCACATAAACGATCTCTCTTATTCTGTTAAACGACACTTGCAAAAGGCTGAAAGTGTGAAGACAAATAAAGTATAAGCTATACTAGATTATGACTGGTCGTGGAATGCCTACGTTGCCCAGAAAACGGTATAAATCCAAATACATATTTCCTAAAGACCACTGTATCTGACTCTTAAGTTTGCAAGACATCGAGGTTTCTACCTCCAATGATGAATGATAAATATCTAACAATCGTTCACTGGACCATTAACTTCTAATACATTTTTAACATGTAAAATGCTACTAAAAAGACGCAAGGGATGGTACTTAATTCCAAATGGATTCACCAAAAGAAAAAAAAAGATCAGGCCGATAGCATCAAAACAGTTTGTACCTGGTGGTGGTGTATAATGCGAATCATAAGCATCAGGCCGATAGCGTCAAAACAGTTTGTAAGAACGGGATTGAAGTGCTCATCGATGACAGAAAATGGACCTGTACAATAGAGAATTCAGAGTTTACAAAAAAAATACAGTGTTACTACTATCATATCATCTGGAAAGAAAGGGCTCAACTCTCTGTACAGAAGTATACAATAAATTTCTTACATCTTCTCGACACCATATAAATCTATAACAACTATACTAACTATATTGAAATCATCGCAAAAGACAAGGGAGATAAAAAATTACCAGCGAAAATTTCATAGAATATAGACTCTTCACCAAAGAAATCATCGCAAAATATATACCTGTTTAAATGAAAATATATGACATTAACCACGGAGCTGACCGATGAGCAACAATAATAGAAAATGAAAAAGGGTAAATCAACAGAACTCAGAAGTAGCTGTATCCATAAGTAGCTTGTGCAAGCTCCTGAAGAGCACTTCATAAGGATATTTGAGAGAGCTGGCTTCAGCTATGTGCGGGATCAGTGCAGGTTGATCAATTTCCTACATGGGAGATGCTGAAACTTTAGTCTTTTAACAATCTTTTGGAATTCACTACCATCACTTCAACTATAAGAAAAACAGAAAAAAGATAACTGAAAGTAAGGGTAACTAATATGGTTAAACCAGACAGGATTTTAAATTGGGTTTTACTTCTTTTATACCAGAGAAACCACAACAAATACTGAACCAACTAATAAAAACCAAGCCTAAACTTACATCTAGTTGAGGAGCCTTTTAACGATACATAATGTTTAAACCCAAAACTCAAATGAAACGAACTAAAAGAGGTTTCAACAGTTACTACACAAGAACTTATAAAACAAAATATCTGAATCTAGATACGTGAGTACACCTAAATAAGACAATGGTCTACATTAAGTTAATAAAACATCTAATTTTCCATAAAGAATCACACCTATTACCAACTTTTGAAAGAAGGATCAGAACAGTCAAAAATTCGTCAGAGCATGTACAATGGTTGAAAACGTGCTAATCACCAAAGATGAATACCTTTATAATTTTTATCCTCTCACCCAGAGCAAAGACGGCAGAACGGTTCTTCAGTGGCTCCCTAGCTCTTGAGAAGAGGCCGGCGCTTCTAGTCTCCACCCCAATCAAGTCATAAGCTGTCGCTATATCTAATTGCAGTTTCTCAAGAGCTTGAATATAAGCACGAAAATGTGCACTTAACACCTGAAACCAGATCTCACAACTCATTACGGTGTAACAAGAACTGGAAGCCTATACTACTGGACTAGCATACATCTATTTTTATCTAATTTGCATACATCATCTAAACACCATAGCTCAATCAACAAAGAAAACTTCAGGTCTAGCGAAACAAAAGGCTTCAATAACAAGAATAAAGGAGCTACTTGCATGTAACGTGCAATTGTAGGTTCTGTTCACTACCTTACATCGACAGAGTTTAATCTAAGACAAATGTATATTAGACTATACAAAGGAATTGCTGCATGGTGTCACTAATCAAACAAGATAAAGAATATTACCTTGTTCATGGTATCAATGTATGCAGCACGAACATCCATAAATACTTCTTTTCCATGTTCTTTGAGGAAGGAGATAATATACCTATCATTAAATTATAATTGGAGAATGAACTATGGATCCAAATAAATCTACTATAGAAGGAACAAAAAAAATCCAGTTGGAGATCAGTAAAACAACTTTGCCAACGTCATGCAGGCAATATAAACTAAATCGTTCGTAAGGTGACAACCAACGTCATACACATCTATGCAAAACAAACACTCAGCAGCAAATGTTTCACTACGCACAACCAAGGAAAGGGTTTGGAGAACATTACTCACTTGTACTTTAATAACACACTCTGTTGAAGAATTTGAATGTTCGTTTTGGGTTTCCTCAGGGCTATAAGTTTCTGGACAATAAAATCATACACCTGTAAACAGAAAAAAAAAACAATAGCATAAGAACAGATTTAGAACGCCCTCCATGTGCATGCCCTTGGAGAGGACAAGCATAAACGACTTGGACTTAGTACAGTGCTACGAATCCACTGAACTTATGCCAGATGGCACTTTTGTCTATACATTCTCTTAGAGAGAAGGAACCATGATTTAGATAGCTAATCTCGTTTCAATGAGTCAAAAGGAACTAGGTTATGCAGTACCATAACTCTCTCTGTACTTATTTATCCAACAATTAACAACTTTAAGGAAGATACATGTAGTATGTCTTGAGTCAATAACTACATAATTTCTTGCACCTATCACACTCTCTTCATCGACATCTTAGAAGTAAATCATACAAATATATAACAGTAGGTGGTCACACAGAAAGTAGATAAATTACCTTGGAAATTGCTTTCTGCCGGAGCTTCTCGAGCTCAGGCTCTACATCTTTTAATGCCTTAGAACTTTTAACCGCAGGATCAGCTGCTACAAATTTCAGTTTCTTACTCAGAATTTCAAGCGTTCTAATGTACTCTTCATTCACCTGAATAAGGAAAATAGCATGACTATCAGATTAGACGTAAATATATCCATCGGGAACTCATCCAAGGCCTAAATGCACCCCTATAACACATACTCGGGAGACACCAACACAAGGAATACATGGTGTAAGAAAACCAAATGAAATTTAAGCCCAAATGTAGTTAAGTTCTGCTATAGCACATAGTGGCAGCATCTACCCCCTTGCTTAACCAGCAATTATAGTTTCCCCCACCCACATCTTTGTCGGAGTACAGCCTAAGCACCAAATTTAGTAACTCTTTTACAGCACTAGTAACAAATAGAAAAAAAACTGGATTAAGAAAATACCTCTCCATCCACAATTACATCTATCATCTTTGGTGGCACTATAATGTCTTCGACAAATTTTGCTAGCTTTGATTCAGCCACCTGTTCAAATAGAAGAGCTCATCTGGATGGGTCACGGGTGGAAACAGCAAGAGATAAATACTAATAGTGGTTTCTGATTGGCTAAAATACCCTGCGGTTTTTCAATCTCAAACCCATGTCCATAGATTTTTCTTGCAGAATTTTTATATCGGAACTTATAGAACCAATCTCTTCCTGAAAGAAAAGAACCAAAGCTTAGATTACAAGGAAACAACAGATTGGTAACTAAAAATAGAGAATGAAAAGAAGCCCATACACAACAAATGTATGAACGGCTAATGATCAGATACCTGAAATCCACTGAGGAGAGTTTCCATTTGTGACAAGATGCTGTCACAGTCGTGAATCTGATCGTGAAGCGAGACTAGGTTATCACTCTCTTTTATGTAATCCTGTGTATGTATGGGAAGGTAAACCATTAAAGCAATCTACCTACAGGAACAAGTTCCATAATGTAGCACAAGGGTAAGAAAAGCAACCTCAATGGAATCCAATTCGACCTTCCGAAGATTGTTTTCCACACCTTTAGCATATTCTCTAAGTTTGGCACCACTGGACAGTATATTGGCAACAACCTAAGCAGACACATGATCGAGAGAACATCAGCACAAAAAAAGGGCGGGAAGACTCTTTATAACAATATGAATCAGATCTGTGAAAAGCTTTAACCTCATCACTCTCACATTCTTCAAGTTCTTGCTGAAGTCCCTCCAATGATATATCCTCACTGTCAAATCAAAATAAGTGAGAATGAAGTGAAAGGAGATCAAAGAGAAGCAGAATCATCTTCCTAGATAAATAATGGAACAGATAAAAGGTTTGAGAAAAATGTTTGTTACCTGCCTGAATCCTCTTCAAAAGCCAAATCACCAACATAAGCTCCTAAATCAAATCCAAGTTGTTTCTCATGATTACTAAAGTCCCCCACGGCTTGACCCTATCATGTTATATATTACAGACACAATCATCACAAGATCCATGGATGACATACTACGAAATCAACAAGTCTCGAAGATCCCTAAGACAGACAAATCAAAAGTGGAAAAGCCTAACCAATGCGTCAATGGAGATGCCGTCGGACATCTTTGCTGATGAATGCTCGAGATCCCTCTCAACCTCCTATATCAGAGCAATGATTGGAGATTCAAGATTTGAAAGATGCTTTTTCAAAACTCCGTTCTACCTTTAGCTTCTGAGTTCTTCATACAATTGGAGAGAGCTTTTCAGATTCGTCTTCTTCACTAATCTGAAATTGATTTCCAGATCGAGTTCGTCTCACAGCACAAAAGACCATTGGGCCTTTAAAGCCCATAAAAGCCCATTGGGCCTTTAAAGCCAACAAAATCTCATTGGGCCGTATGTAATATGCGAAGCAGGTTATTTGTGTATGGGTCGGGTACAGTTACGACCCGTTCTGAGACAAATCATAAAACCTCAAAAGAAAGAAAACCCCAGAGTGACGCAGCAGTAAGTAGTACTCGTCTCACTCACAGAAGAAAGATGATGAAGCAAGCTCGCACTCTGCTCTCCAGGTAGTAACCCTAATTTCCTCATTTCTTCCGCTAAAAAAATGCAAACTTTTTCGAACCCTTTTCCCTCTAATGACTTCTTTTGTTGTATTTGTTAAAGCAGGAGCCTTTGCAACCAAAGCAACTCACTTTTCGAAGGAAACTCTAGTTCTTCGTCCTTGCGTGGTTTCGCAACCCTGGCTGATTCATCCTCTGTCACTAAACGTGGTAAAAGTTACTTTCTTTTTTGTTCTCCTTTTTCCTCTGTTTTTTTTTGAGTTTTGCCCTAATTTGTTTCCTTTCTTTTGTTTTAAAAGCTGATGCTGCTAAGCCTAATGGTCGTGTGTTTGCGCCTTATGCTATCTTCAAAGGAAGAGCTGCTCTCTCTGTTGAACCTGTTCTCCCCACTTTCACCAAAATCGAGGTTTGGAGGAGACTCCCTTTTGTGTTATTTTGCTTTAAGGCTTTGGAGATTCTCGTCATTTACTATGTGAAATGTTGTTTTTTTAGCCTGGGAATCTTAGGATAGATCGTCGTGGATCCGTGATGATGACTTTTATGCCTGCTGTTAGTGAGCGCAAGTATGACTGGGAGAAGAAACAGGTCTTTATCCAACACTGTATACATTCACTCGTATCTTTCTTGTCTGATGAGTGATCTTTGGTTGCTGCATTGTTGTTGTAGTTGTTTGCTTTGTCACCTACTGAAGTTGGATCCGTGATCAGCATGGGTCCTCAGGACAGCTCTGAGTTTTTTCATGACCCTTCCATGAAATCAAGGTTTGTTATTTGCTGACTTGTTACAGATGTTTGCTTAATTCAGCAAAATTTCATCTTCTGATGAGCTTTGTTTCCTTTCAGTAACGCTGGTCAAGTCAGGAAGTCACTGTCCATTAAGCCGCTCGCAGATTCTACCGGTTACTTCTTCCAATTGAGTAAGGCTTCTTCCAATGGTGGAGCCTGTCTGAATACTACTGAAATCTTGACTTGTGGGAGAATTCTTGCACTTGTTTTGGTTTTGTAATACGAGTGTTAAGGCGTTTTAGGATGATACACTTAACGTTTGCGGTATTTTGCAGGCGTTACGGATAACGTCCAAAACAGTAATGACCGTATTGTGGTTCCTGTCTCCAAGGCTGAGTTTGCTGTGCTGAAGAGTGCTTTTAGTGTAAGATGTGATTTAAAGCTTTCTGCTCTCTCATTGTTATGTTACTATTAAATAACTTGAAAACCAAAAAGTATCAACAGGAAAATTTGTATCAAATATATGTTTATCTTAAGGAAGAGATTTGTATTATGTGCAGTTTGCTCTTCCACACATCCTGGGATGGGATCGGATCATAGGAGGTGATGTTGGTGTTGCAGCGCAGGGGTTTGCTTCACTTCCAAAGGCTGATCCGATGCAGTTGGAGCTGGAGTGGGGTAAAGAGTAAAGACTGATATGGGAGTAGGAATGGAGTAAATTGACAAAATGCATGTGTTTCTTTTTCTGAAGTTTGGCGTACACAAAACTTGGCATGCTCTGTTCTTGAATTTTAACATGTCCTTTCTAAGACTTGCGTCTAATTTTGGGGCTTATGCCCATTGTCATTAGTACTTATGTTATTTTGCGGTAAAAGCATTTTGGGTTTCAGTTTAATAGTCAGGTTTCAAGTATCATAGCATACAACTTTAGAGTTATAAACACAGAGAGAAACATAAACTAGGGAAGCAGAGTCATTTGTTGGACATTGACAGGATATGCGTCGGTAGGTGGGCCGTAGAAAGCTCGTCTGACCAGAATGGAATTCGCAGTCTGAGTAGGATGGAAAGCATCCCAAAAAACATACTGAGACCTGTTAGGACAAGGGTTCTGCAACGGCAAACATGTGATCTGTCCTTGGTTCCTACCAGTCCCGCAACAAGCCCTGTCCTCTACGCTGAATCCTGTACCATACATAAACCTCGTTTGAAATGAGTAGATAGCACAAAAGAAACTCCTTTATCAATGCAATGTAATTTAGGAGGAGGTTATACCGTAAGCAGCAGGATTGTTTAAGATGTCACCAACTGCACGATATGTGTTGCCGTATACAAAGATGGCTCCAGGTGAACGCTGGTTCAGCTGTTCAACAAGTGATCTAAGCCCTTGGTTAAAAGTACCTAGAATCTGGTTCACACTATCAACGCATCTCCCTGGTGGTGCAGTGGCTCTTTGGTTTGGTATGCAGCCTAGTGGTCCTACTCCAGCTATGAATACTTTCCTAAGACCTAAGCTGTACAGAGCCTACACATAGTTTCAGATGATTATCAAAGGTCATTAAAAGAGATATTATATGAAGATTCTGATGTGTAGCATACAAGAAGTTGTCGGGTGTATTGATTGATAAGTAGGTTGGCGAACTCAGGCGGTCTGTATCTGAGGCTGGATGAGTAGAGATTAGGCATAAGGTAGTTGTTGAGATAGTCATTGCTTCCAAACACGAGAACCACAAGCGATTTTGTCAAGTAATCTGTAAAGTTTTGGGGACTCATCATAGTTCTTAACTGGCTCAGTGTCCCCTCTAGGTTCACCACTTGCTGGCTCAGACTGAATCTGTCTCCCTGCACATTTAAAGCCTCTGTCAACACTATACTAAACATCATATCATTTAACTAAAAGTGATGACAGAAAACTCAGGAAGTACATAGTTTTGGCCTGATTCATCGAGGATTCCACCAGCTGCAGATGCATAGTTAACTCCTCCAAGGATTCTAGTGCCCCATGTGGTTGGATCCGCAAAGGGAGGAGGCGACGAGATTCCTAACAACTGAGCTGTTTATTTCAGAACAGTTTCAGTGTTTTTTTTTGCAGTAAGATGAAATTTATGCTAAAACAAAACTGATAATTGACAGAGAAAGTGTGTAAGACTTTACCAAGCAAATCAACGAAGTTCATGCCATTGCTAAATCTGCCAGTAGGACGGTAGTTTAAGTCTATGCCATAAGGCAAGTAATTGGCTCTAGCCACGGATGTTAGAAAGTTGTTGTTCCCAACATCGACCAATGAGTCTCCAAGCACAAACATAGCCGGAACTGTAGCTTGTCCGGTCACTAACTCAGGCTGCTGTAACATAACAGACGCCACCACTACAACTATAAACGCATATCCTCTAACTTGGATTTTCATCTTTTTTTAGTTTGTGTTCGTTTTGAAGTTGGAATGTAGGAAATGGTACTATATAAAGTTTTATGCAAAACATGCTGCATGTGACACATAGGAGTTAGCTTCCGGATAATCTGTTTCATTTTTGTAACCGATCTCTTTCATTTCGGCTGCTTGCATGTAAAACGAGTCAATAAGCTTGCATCACGTTTGAAATTTCACAAGAAACTACAATTGCATATGCAAGACAAGACCATGACGCATTTTCTCACCCCTCTTCGGATAAAGATCAAGAAAGTAATGAGACGAGATTATCCGAGACTATAACGGATCCTGATCTCTTAAAAGCTGAAGGTGAAAGAATTGTGACAAGTCTTTTACCTGCCATTGAAGAGCTAAACTGGAGATAACTACATGAGATTCATACATAACTAACATTTATAGGACTGTTCTTATCATATACATTTACCAACCAGAGAATCATTCTTCACTACATTTGATATTTGTCGCTCCTAGGATTGTACTGGTTGAGCAACTCGTGTATCTAATACATGCAAATAACACAACATTATACAATGTGCCACTGTCTTTATCTATCACCTATCTGTGTTGGTTTTCTGAGCTGCTTGTTTTCCTTGTGTTGGAGGTGTAGACTCTTCATTTACAAATGGTAAAACAAGGACAGGAGCTGCTGGTACCATTTCCCAACGTTCCCGTAGTAAAGCTCTGAATTTCATGACCATTTCTTTCCGGAACTCTAGCTCCCGAGTAAACTGATCGAAGAGAACACAAGCCAGAACATACTTGAATGGGACTATGACTAGAACCGTTGCAATAGATATCAAAACCAGCGCTACTTCCGTCGCTACCTGACAAAATATTTCAAATTGTGTAACCAGGTTATATAACAGCATCATAATAGTTACCAGAGTGAAGAAAGCGCTGCTAGAACTTAAACATACCTGAGGATGACCAGATAGTACAATTGACCGTAGTTTGAGAAGCACAACATTCACGTTCTGGAGACAGCTCTCCAGATCTTGCATAGCATCTTTAACAGCAATAATTTTTTGAATAGTATTTGAAGATGGCTGATCTCGAATGGTTACCATTCCAAACAATCTTCCAAGACGCCCTTGTCTTCTGAGTCCCTTCAACGTAAGCATCCCAGTTGCCAAAAACATTAAAGACACGGGAAGAACGTACTGCAAAAGGTTCCTGATGCACAAAAAATAGTATTCTCAGTAGTATCAGATCATTACTAATAAAACGATAGCTAACTTATAGGTCCACCAGTTAAATAAATATGATCTCTTTGCATGCCTATGCATGTCTTCAATGTAAACATCATTCGGATGTAAACAAACCTGAAAATTATTGTTGATGCAAATGCTAGAAAAGAGACCGTCATATAAGGTTCCTCCCATCGCCGGAGTTTCTCAAACTTTGTGGCAGTTATAGTCAGAGGCAGGATGAGTTCCTGGGAGTGAACAGATAAGAGCAAAGGAAAAGATTGAATCACAACTGTCTCTACTAATTTTATCTTTGTAATAGCAGACCACAAATACTCTGAGAATAAGCTTTACCTTGAAGAGATCAATGTTACTGGGTATCCCTTTGATGGTTGCAGCATTAATAGTGGCTTGAGTTTTTTCTACCACCTTATATTTTTGTCTGCATGTTTCTGCTGCTCTCTCTATCAATGTGAGATCAGCGACGGCAAGGTTTTTGCTCAGAATCAAGCCTTGTCTTAGAGAAGAACTTTTCCAAAAGTTAATAGATGCGTTTGAACCCCAGGAAGGAGATTTCATCCACTTTTTCAGGTAGACACTTCCATCAAGATCAGAGGCGTTGTCAAAACTTTCATAGGACTCTCCTGAAGTCCTGGCCATATTACCTCGGTTATAAACCGTGTTTGCAACTTTTGTCACTAATGGTCCACCCCAAAAATTGACAGCTAGAGTTTGACACACGATGTCTCCATAAGCTACTTGTCGGAGAAAAGAGAATTGCGCTAGTTTGATAGGATCATCTGGCAAATTCCGCATATATTGAAGAGCTTGAAGTCTTGCAATACAGTTAGAAGCACTTGCAATTGCCTTTTCTTTACCCTTCTTTGCACCAAAAACTTGAAACAGTGATTTATCATTCTCTTCTGGCCCAAATTCTCGTAGAAACGTGTGCAGCGCTATAACTTCACTGACAATCGAATGCCAAACATCTCGTCTCAGATCACCTCCTAGATCAACGAACTCTAGAACCCAAGTGGAATTCCTAAATGAACATAATACAGGGTGAGCATGTCTCTAAGTAAAACGACCACATAGACATATGGCACACTAAGATGGGCATCAAAACCACATCAGTTACATGAACATATATATGAACTCACCCTGGGCCGGATGAAACAGTTACTGCAGAATCAAAGAGGGAAAACCCCAGAGGACCCACTTTTGCTTTCTCCACGGATGACTTATCCCCTACGAGATCAAGTCTTATGATCCCTTTGCTGCGCTTTATATCAATTGGCTGAAAAATAGAGTATACAATAGCCTGTTTAGTCCTATATAATAGAGTATTAGTTGACACAGCTATAGGGAAACGATGTTCTATTGCTCCTTCACGGCTTCACCAGGGACTTAAAGAAAAAGAACTATATATATAGATACCTGGAAGTAGAGAGCTTTATCAGTTAAAGTCAATTTTCCAGGCCACGCAACGTTATTCTCCCATTTTAAAACAGGCCCTTTCCTGTTGGAGGCCATGCATAGAAGTCTCTCTGATGACAGCTGCGGAAATTCTGTAGTCTGGTATGACTTCCGTCCCTCGTGTATTCTGTTCTGACAATGGAAAGATACTCAGCTCGGTAAACAATGATGGTTCTATAGTTATGCAACACCCTAAGCTAATGCAGTACACAGAAAGTTTACTATCAAAAAGATATATATTCAGTTTGGAAAGCAAATTTGAGTCCACAGATGAAATATCTAAGCTAAAACAGTAGTGGAAGCAACCAAAATGCTATACTCACTTGACAAGTTCCTGGATGTAAGCAAGCCAAATCTCCAAAGAAATGCCTTTTTGATCACTGGCACCAGCTAGGGCCTCGAAAAGATTATGTACTGTAGCTCTATCAGCCACGCCTGAAATTGCTGGAGCAATACGAACAAATGCCTCTTCCTCAACAAAGCGTCCCTTCAACACCGACAACCACTCATCAGTGCTGATCTGCAACCCCATAGTATTATGAATCATAATTTCCAGAAGAGCAGATTAACATCTGAATACTTTTACCACTGCCAGGGTTAAACTAAATTCCAGAATAAAGAACTTCTGTCATCTCATAAAAGCTAAAAGAAACGAGACTGTTCTAAGCCTATACCTGAAAAGAAGGTTTCTTTGAGACACCACTGCGCGCATAATTTCTTTCTTTACAGTATGGACTAGCCCACGCAAGCATTGTGATGAAGATTAGCCTCTGGAAAGCAGGTTCCTATGAAGAAATCAATGTTCCAAAAGGTTCAAAAACCAATAAAAAATGTAAAGGCTATCAGACTGTTGTACATAAAGCATCCTAAATGGCAAATACCTTGAGACAGGGATGAAACTCTGAGCTATCCCTTGATAAAAACCTAAAACAGCAGTATTCCACAAGGTATCTAGCATTGGTAGATGTAGCTGGAGGAACAAGTGTTTCAAATATATCCTGCATCTTCTTCCCAGTTAATCCATTCATCCTGCATAATACAAAGAGAACTGTTTTAATACACACAGATTTACAGTAAAAGAAACACAAGTGAGGATGATTGGTTCTTCACCTGCTAAACTGCTCAATAGAGATGATAGCATCAAAAGAAAAAGATCCTTTAGGTGTGTCACTTTGAACCGTTTGTTCAACAGTAAGAAGCTCCTCCAAGTCTTCAAAATCATGTTCGTCCTCAAGATCAACCTTGAGACTCTGCCTCTTTTTAATCAACGGAGAAGCTACGTCGCTAAGATACTTTTGTGATTTAGACACCCACTTACTAAACCGTTCTTGCACCGCATCTGTCGGAAAAAGACAACAACCAAAAAAAAAAAGCTTTAAACTTTCTAACAATCAACGTTTCGGGTTTGTTCCTAAAGAGTTTAAGAAGTCGTAAACGAAATCAAACTCGAAGAAGAAGGTGAAAAGGATCGTACTTGTGTCGATGTCGTTCAGTTTCCATTTCTGAGCAACAATCCGGAGCCTTGGTTTTCGATTAGAAGAACAGTTTCGTCGATGGAAACGCAATCCATCGCGACGGAAGACAACGGGAAGATGTAGAGTTGCGGGAGAGACTTTCACTCTCTTTACTCCTCCGACTCTCTGAGCCATTTTCTGTTGTCGACAAAGCTCCGCTTGAAGAAGAGGCGTACGGTAGCAAAACACCACTAATATATCTTTCTTTTTTATTATTACCGAATCATGTGGTCTGTTATTACCGAACCATATGGTTATTTAATGTTTTTCACAAATAAGTTCTAATCCCAAGTGAAAAGATTATTTAACAGATTAATGGAAAAATGACTATTATATTAATATTTTTTTGTATTGTGCAAATAGAATCATTGATCGTAAATTTAGTTTAGCTTAAAATGATCTGAACACTTACACGAAACTAGGTGATTTTCCCGTGCTCATGCACGGATATGTATATTTATAAAATAAATATACAATAATAATTGGTTAATATTTACTTTAATTTTTAAATTAATTTATAGTTTGTATGTCTAATTTATATTATAATATTATATTACTTAAATTCTATATATAATTTTAAATGTGTTATATTTAGTCTGTTTTATTATTTTTACGGTCGATTTAGTTATCATTTAGATATATTGGATTATATCTATTTCTCTGAATTCAACTATAATCATTTATATTTTAAATATATTAATTTTTTATTAATTGTCTTATTTGCATTTATGCTAGTTGTTATCTTAGAAATATAAGTATATTTAATAAGATTATATATAACTTAAGATTTTTTGTGCTTAGAAAGGAAAAAAAATAAAAACTAAAGTGTCTGATTCTCAATTACATACATAAGTAACTAATGAATTTTTAGAAGCTTTTGAACACATATCAATATTTACAATAATTAAAATATTTATAAATTCTAAATAAATTTATGCTTTAGATTCATTGGATGGTAAACTGAAATTTATTTTAAATAATTTTAAAAATAAAGATTCTGATTTGCTTAAGTATTTTGACTATGGTAATATTAATTTTGACAAACATAAAAACAAAAAATTAAAAATCAAAAGATTTATTAAGAAAACAGATAATTTTAACTATTAAAATATAATATATCTACCTTGTTAAATTATATAGTGTTATGGTATTTTAAAATAATTGTAGTTATTTTCTATTTTTATGTTTGTGAAACTTAATATAACCATAATCAAAATACTTAAGTAAATCAGAATCCTTATTCTTAAAACATATAATTTTAACTATTAAAATATATATATCTACCTCGTTAAATTATATAGCGTTATGATATTTTAAAATAATTGTAGTTACTTGATCAAAAGATGTTTATTATTAAATTTATTTTTAGTTTTATTATTAGTATCTCTTAAAATAATCAGTAAAAAGTGATTGTTTTTGAGAAATTATACTATATAAGTAAAATAGAATTTATAATTTTACTGGAATTGTAAGAGATACTAAAAATAAAACTAATCATCAGTTTATGTTAGTTGATTATTTTATGTAATCATCTAATAAAATAGATAGTTATATACAAAAATAATTATTTTAAAAATATATATTTTTGTTTAAAATTATTTTTTTTACAGAAAAAATATTTCTTTTTCTAATAGCAATATTTTTTTGTGTGAAATTTTTTTATGAAATCACATTATATACAGATACTGTTTTTTTATCTAAGAAGATATATATATATATAAAGTGTTTTATTACTGCAAAGGTATATTTTATGTTATTTAAAATATATTTAAATTAAATATTAATATTTTGTGAACTTTTCTTTTTTTTATTAAACCATATTATATATACTTATAATTTCGTTTTTAAATAGTTTTGTAAATTTTATAAGTGTTTCCTTTTTATTTTATATTGTTATTTGGAAATTTAAAAAAAAAAAGAAATAATATTTGATTGTATTTTTTGATTCATTAGGGGTATCATAGTATTCAACCAGCGTGGGAGTTAACCTGAGTGCGACACCTAAGAAAGTGACTTCTCAAATAATATTATAGAGATATTAATGATATTTAAGAAAAATAAATTATTATATATATATTTATTTATGATGTATATATTTTCATCATGATGCAAGTATAAACATTGGTTTAGCATGAAATTACAAATGAATTCAGTAATCTCAGTATAAGTAGGTAAATCTTTGTATAAAATGAATTCTCATAAGACAAACAGTATCTGGCTGTAGACTGATCCAAACCTGCTCGAAAACTAGAAATTTTTTAAAAAAATTTGTGAGTATATATCCTAAAATCCAACCTGACCACTCTTACACAACAAAACAAAAAAATGACACAGCTAGATAACAGCGACCGATGTGTGGTCGGTCAAACGCAAACAACCGAAGCTAGAAACCATAAACAACATCAACTTTAAGATAATAATTATAGCCTCTTGCTCCAAACGAGTCATTAAAGGATTGGCAAACAGGATCAAGAGTCCTACTGATAGCAAATAGTTTGAACTTCGAATCTACTCTAAGAAAACAGGACGTGTCACTAGCATACACAACATACATGAACATGAAACATAAATCATGTCATGTCAATTAGATACTAGATTTCCTGTTTCTGCAAAAGCATGTAGAGTGCCAAAATAAAAAAGAGACTCAAGAGATTAGCCGACCTTCCTAAGTTCTAGTGGAAGAGAAACCTTCCATTCAAATTAGTACACTAACACACAAACAAACGTGGAAAACATAAAATGAACACGACCATCAAACTACTTCCTCTTGGTTACTCATCAGTCAATCTCTATCGCCGCCTCGGGAGACACACCACTCATATTCCCTTGTTTGCTGCTCTCTGAGGATGTGGCAGCTGGTTCCCGTTTAATCTCGATGAGCTCTTCAATGATCCTTGGAGTCTCTCTTAATAATCTCTCCTGCTCTGATGTTTTTTGGAGACGCTCTCTCTGCTCTAAATACTCGTCTAATGTGAAATAGTTCCACAAAAGGAAAAACAGTTAAGGTGTTCAATGTAGGAATCAAATGAAAAGATTTAAATGTGTTTTTAGATGATATGATCTAAAGGATATTCTGTTCTCCATCCTTTCTCATTAGCACAGTTGATGCGTTTCTGCAGGATGTTAAGCTGCCTTCCAATCCACTGTTTTTTAAAGTATTCACACAAGAAATGTGAGAAGCAGCACCAAAAACATTGAGTATCGAACTTATTTGATTTCAGAGATAAATAAATACTCACATGTTTTGTTATATCCTCATGGAGAGCCTTAGCCTTCTGCCCCATCTCAACCTACACAGAGATTCGTCACCTTTATGAAGGTAATATAGCTTTATTTGAAACAGAGCACCATATCATTTGTGATACACAGAGATTTAGATTTCGTTTTAACAACTTACAACAGTTGGCTGTCTCAGAAGGCCACTTGTCACTTTTTGCTTCAAATTTTCAATCTCTTCCTGAAGAAGAAAATGGAGGTTTTGGCATTTAGGAAGTAAAAATCAAAGGAAGCTTTAACCAGTCACCTTAGAGGAATATTATAAAGATAGCTTCTCAGTAAACGTAACAAAAAAAAAATGTTCATATATTTTCCAAACAAAACACAGAAGAGAGAAAGAAAACTGCAAGGAAACAAAATGGTGATATATAAATTAAGCTCAGACATATATCACCTTGCTTATGTCGGAATCATCCAACTTGGAAATGCTAACACTACTTGCAATACCAGCAACATCAAGAAGAAGACCCTGACTTTGGTCATCAGCAGTTTTAGTGCCTACAGAAAAGACAACACAGAGGAGGTGTAACTGTAAGAGTCATTGTGATGGAGTAGTCATGTAAGAGTCAAAAGCTGCCATGTAACAGATGAAAAGGATAACATTCAAATTATCTAAAATCCAGAAGATAGAAAGAAGAAACAGCAAAGCCTGGTATAGAAATCAATTTACTAATAAATCACAAATCCTGGTTACCTGTAACCTGCAAGATCTGGTACGCTATACGGTCCCTAGGGTCATTCTTCACTTTCACAAAGCTTCCCAATACCTTTTCCCCAAAGCTCTCGTCATGCTTCAATAAATCTAGAACTAAGCTCTTCCGCAGATAAACAAGCTTTATGTTATCTTCATTGATCGTAGCAAAACCAGTTGGCCGCATTTCAGGTTTCACTTCCTTAACACAAGTTTCTGTTGGCTGCATTTCAGGTTTCACTTCCTTTTCAAAAGTCTTGATTGACCACATTTCAAGTTTCACTTCATTTTTACAAGTCTTGGCTGGCCAGATTTGAGGTTTCACTTCCTTTTCACAAGTCTTGGTTGACCAGGTTTCAGGTTTCACTTCCTTTTCACAAGTCTTGGTTGGCCAGATTTGAGGTTTCACTTCCTTCTCATAAGTTTTCTCATGTGACCTTTCTATTCTCTGCTTCTTGCACGGCAGGAGAACCCTTTCATTCTTCCCACTGAAGCCACGTTCCGAACGAGTGTTGCATTCCAACGACTCAAGGTTGCCTTTGAAGTGAGCATCTAAAAGTCTATGAATCTTCCTTTGTTTCACAGACCTCTTCCTGAAGATAGAATACAGCTTCTCATCGCAACGAACTTTCTTCTTCTTTTTATGATCAAGTAGGTTTTCGTGACGGATGTATTTATTGATAACAGACTCCACTCTCTGTTGGGACATTGCACGTCTGGTATCTTCCCCTATGGACGTTAGGAAATCAATGAGAGGCTTAGAACCCCATCTGACAAACACCAGATTCTTGTTTTTGCCCACCGTTTTAGAATCTTCTGCTCCATCAACTTTGTGGTCAGATAGTGAATGCTTACTACGATCAACTTTGTGCTTCATCAGCGTGACGACTTTCTTCTGTGAATTTGAAGTGGATGCAACATTGAGTGAAGATCTGCCATTATCTTTGTGCTTTAACTTGGGAACTTTCCTTTGTGATCTTTTGGCACGAAGCACATCGTCAAAAGTTATGTCTTCTTGTTTTTTTGCTATCTCCCAACACTCGAGAAACAGACACTCAAATGTATTCGTATCTGTCAGGTCGAGCTTATCCTGCAAACCAGTTAAGCAGAGAAAATAACATTTTCAAATTTCAGAATTAGTCTTAGGCATAGACATCAATTAGTTACTATTTGTGTTATCACCTTAAAGTAAAGAAAAATTACAAGTTAGAGGAGTAATGGTATCAAAATATGGTAAAAAGGAAATAGCTTTTATATATACTATGGTTTCAAACATACCCCAGCAGCATCATATCTTTGAATCTCTTCTAAAACAACAACATACTCCTGGCACTGATTGCATAATCCTTTATCCACTTTAAGGTGGATAAACTCAGCATGAGTAACACAGCCTTCACATACAGCATGTGGGCAACATAGACAGTGTAGCTTTGGACTCTTCCCACACAAGTAGCAACTGTGCCATTCTGAAAATTAACAACTTTACAATTAAAACACTAATCCCTCCATAAAGCAAGCATGTCAAATACAGTAACCTTAAACTCGAACAGACCTAAGAACCTAACAAAGTAAGATCATTAGTTTTGCTAAAGAGAGAAAGAGACAGAACAAAACAAAATGATCTAAAGGTTGTTACTTTGGGATAGCAATGGCTCGCTGCAGGCATAAAGAAACAAACTTTATATACAAAATGATTTAAAAAGGGAATTTCAAACTGTCCTCCTTCAATGTCTCTCATTTCCCGACATAAAACCATTAAACTAATCAAGGAGATATGTGACGAAATCTCAAAAAGGAGTGCTAATTAAAAAATGATTAGCAATGAATATAAAAAGATTAGCACTTTACCGCAGATATAGGAGTCGTCACTCTCTTCTGCTGAGTTAATACAATTTTCAACGCAAGAGGCATGATAAGCTTTAGGACAGTCCCTGAAATGACCAAAGCACAATGATGTTTTAGTTAGATGCTTAGTTACATTTAAACTATATGTGCCAACAATACTCTGATATAACCAAAGTTTTGATTTTTATGCAGATCTCTTCAGATTATCAAGAGTCAAGAGTCAATAGAGAGAGAGACTGACTTGTAGTCACAGAGCATAAGGCTGCCACCGTCTTTGCAGATGAAGCACCAGTCTTCCCACTCCTTCTCCTCCTCCTTCTCCGCCATCTCTTGCCGTCGCTTTTACTCCGGAGTCGCTACTTGGACTAGTGACCTAGTGACCGCGGGGGAAGCAAAGATGTCAGCTTTTTCTTTTGGTTCAACACAAAGGTTTTTAACCAATCACCAAGCGCCTAACGTTAAATGTCGAAACGTGTTCTTTTTTGTTACTTTATCCATTATACCCTCGTCGTGAATCTGTGGCACGCGCAATTACAAAGGGGTAATAGCGTAAAATATACTACCTTTTGCAAGTTTAACGTATTTTTCATGCTCAAAAAAATTGCAGGTGTTTCGTTATATTCATTTGGGAAATGTAGCAGTTGCATTTTACATAGAAGATTGGAGAATACGTTGTTTCGCTGTTGAAATGTATATTATTGTTGTGTGAAATAATATGATTTTATATTTTGTTTATTTAATACAATTATACATTTGTAAAGAATATTTATAAATATATTAGTAATGAGATCAAATTAACTTTTATATATTCGCAATTATAATATTCATGGGATAATATAACTATAATACAAAAATGCAACATAAAAAGTATTAAGTACAAAACCATTAACTTATATAAATAAAATGTTTTCAAAAAAAACTTATATAAATAAAATGACTAAAATAAAAAAATATATGTACTAAGTTAAAGAGATAAGTTGTTGCAATTCAAAATATGAGGGGATATGGTGCTTCGGAAATGCTCTTAAAACCATTGTTACAGTGGCAACTACACCAGAAATACACAAGACCGTAGATTAATCTATGATAATCCAAAGTTAAGACCACGAGTCTATGATGATCCAAAATTTTAGGAAATGATAGATCAATCTACTACATATTTGATGTCTTGTATGGAATGATGTATATTATATACTAAAAAAAGGACGCAATTTCTAAATGCGGATGATGTTAAGCTAATACACTAAGTGCTGCAGCAGCTCCAGCAGCGGCTCCGGCAGCGGCTAGAACCAGAGCAGTAATAGGTGTCAATTTGAAGCCGTCACTTCCACGGGAGAGTCTCCTCGAGATCAGTTTGCAGTACTTGTCAGCTTCTCTGTAAAGAGAACAATTGGATCCTCTTTCTGCGATGGCTCTTTTGTTCTAAAGACATAACATAGGCAGATTACAGAGAGTGGAAAAATACAGCTTACAATCAACAAGAAGAGTAAAGAGAGAGATGGATTTACCTTACGCCTGAATCTCTCCATAGTTTGATTGACAGTGAGAGTATCACTTGGTGATAGCCTGAGGAAAAACAAGTGTCGCCCTAGCAGATTTTTAAGAAGAGCAACACTAGCTTCTAGATTCTCCCTATAGAGAATTTCCCAGTGCTCAAAGCAGTCAACGCTTTCAAACACACACCAGACAGAGATTGATGTAGCTTCCTCGGCTAAAACATGATGTCCTGTAACAATACCCTTTCGAGCTGATCTCAAGGCAAAAGTGAACATCTGTTTCACCGCGTTGCTTCCTGGTATGTCTTCTGTAAGAGCCACGTCCTTTAACAGGGGATAAACTGCCTCAACCCTTTCTGTAGACTGTACAGAGACCATGCTTGTGATCAGAATCAAGCAGCAAAATCATCATTTAAGGTTTTTTTTTTATATAAAATTTTACCTTTACTCTAGCAGATGGAGCGGGGAATGTGAGACGCACCAAGATCTCAAATGAAGCAAGTGGAATCAGCGGCTCTCCTTCCCTAAGAGTAAGAGCTCCATCTACAAGTATGGTCCGAGCCCTTGGATGCGACAGAATCCTAATTTAAGACAAAGTGCATAAAATAAAACCATCAGATTTGACTGTTACAAGACAGCAAAAGGAGATGACAAAACTCTGAAAACAATATGCTGAAACTCACTCCTCAACGAATTGAAGGACGAGATCCATAGACTGAGGGATACAGCAACGCTTCTTACTACTACTGACTGTGACTAGTGGTAGCAAGTTATGTGCCCATGAATACAAGCCAAGGCATAGATCACTTGGGGAAGCCTGAGCCATCAACCAAACAGTAACGGGAAGCTTGTCGTGTCCCTGATACTTAGGATCCTGTCTCAGAATGGGTAAGACAGTAGTCAAAGCCTCAGGTTTAAAACGCAGAACGATGGCTAACGCAACAAACATTCCCACCTACATATATATAAAGATGATGTGAGTTAAAAAAAAACGGTAAAAACGAATTTAACCATTGAATTTCTTCACCTGAGATTTGGAGTCATCACCACCTCCACCTCCTTGTTGTGCTTCAAAATCAAGGAGGATCTGATCAAACGCACGCAGTATGAAAGCAGAGAAATCCTTAAGTTCAACTGGAGGCAGTTCGATCCAATTGCATGTTGTTTTGTAGACATAGTAAGGAACATGAGACAAGGGAAACTGCAAGAGAAGATGAGATGAGATGATCAGCAAGACTGGAGACTTTTTATTTTATTTTATTCGAGAGGCTCACATACATCGATGAGAGTGGACAAAGGAGCGTCCTTGAACATCTTCACCCATGGGACCGATACTTGTGCAAATGCTTCCTCAAAGTAATCGGTATACCTCGATAACAGCTCCTTCGGACGCCAAACCTCTCTCTATCCACAGGAAACAACAAAAAACAACTATCAAAATTGGATTTTTTTTTTTTTCCGATTGAGATCGAAATTGTATTTACCACTGCTTTGCAGAGGTGATCCATAAGATGACGAGGCACGATCTTTGCCGCTGCTTTCGCCAGAGACACTATCTGCTTCTTCTCAGATTCCTCGCCCTTCGCCGCCGCACCCTCGCGACGATGATCCATTAGGTTTTCTAAACTTTGAGATAAACGAAATTCTAAGAGAAAGCTCTTGACTGATCGATGACTTTTAGTTTCATACCAGCATGCATATATAGTAAATGATTTATCAAAATAAATGGAAATTTCCATTAAAAAAAAAAGAAATATAGGCTTATCTAATTTTATTTTATTTTATTTTATCAATTTAATTTTTGATTCCTTTGAATCTGAACCATTCCTCCATTACTCAAAAAAAAGGTTTAACTATTTAATTATCCGTAGATATATTGTATACATTATGTTCTTGATTTTGTAATTTTGAATAATAATCATAAATATTATGAAAATCAACTTTTAACTTTAAATAGTTTGGAAATCCAAAAATTTTGGTACTATATAAAGTTAAAAATATTTCTGAAGTTTATTGATAGTTCTATAAACTTTAACCTAAGTTTTAAAAGATCAAACTAATTTATGATCATTAATACAAAACCAAAAATTAATGAACAAAATAACTATTTTATAACACTTCATACTATTTTGTCTACCAGTTCATTTTATTTTAGATGGATAGTTACAATTTTTCCATGATTTTGTCAAATGATAATCATTCTATTTCACAAATGTTTGATTACTCTCTAGCTCCAAACTCACAATTAGTTACCAAACAAATTCATCCTTAATTTTTTGTAATCATCAATCTTATCAAACACTAATTCATATGAGCATATTTATAGTACACAAAAACACACACACACATAATATTGATACAAGTGATGTTTAGAGTTGAGCATGCATCCACGCTCTTAGAAAACTTCTTAGCACTACTAGGCTAGATAATGTTGATCTCTGTGGACGCCTTGTACCGTGCAGAGCAAAACCGGTAGAAAAGGACGCTCTGCATCCACGCTCTTAGAAAACTTCTTAGCACTACTAGGCTAGATAATGTTGATCTCTGTGGAAGCCTTGTACTGCGCATAGCAAAACTGGTAGAAAAGGACGCTCCAGTCTTCGATTAGGTGGACCAACAAACAAGTGCAGGAGCAGCTCCGGCAACGGCTCCTGCAGCGACAACAAACACAGCAGCGGTAATGTGTGTCATTTTGGAGCGGCCACTTCCACGGGAGAAACACTTCGAGATCAGTGTGCAATACTCGTCAGCTTCTTTGTAGAGAGAACAGTTGGCTCCTCCCTCAGCGATGGCTCTTTTGTTCTAACAACATAACATGGGCAGGTGAGGTCAGAGATGGAAAACACAGCTTACAATCAACAAGAATAGTAAAGAGAGATGGATTACCTTACGCATGAAGCTCTCCATAGTTTGATTGACAATGACAGTGAGAGTACCACTTGGTGATGTTGATAGCCTGAGGAACTGATTGTCGTCAACAAGCTTCTTGAGAAGCGCAACACTGACTTCTAGATTATCCACGTAAATTTTGTCCCAGTGGTCAAAGCAGTACGCGTTTTCTGACAGGCACCTGATAGCGATCGAGGTAGCTTCCTTGGCTAAAACAACAGGATTTCCTGTAACCAATGGGAACACATTTAGAGATCAACCTGAAGAAAACAAAAAAGAGGCACGGATTCAAGACTTGTGCTACTAAATTACCTTTTTCTCCAGTTAAGATCAAGGAAAAAGCGAATAAATTTTTCATGGCAAATCCTCCTCCTCCTGCCCTCTCTGGTGAAAGAGCCACTTCCTTCAAAGAGGGATAAATTGCCTCAAACCTCTTTGTGATCTGTGCGCAGATACAGAGACCATGCTCAAGGTCAGAGTTCACACTCTTCAAGGTTTAAATTTTATTTCTGTAAAACTCCCCAAATACTAATACTAACCTCAACTCGTGCAGATGGAGCAGGGAATGTGAGGCGCAGCAAAATCTCAAGTGAAGGAAGTGGAACCAGTCGCTGTCCTTCCATAACACCACCTCCGTCTACAAGTATAGTGAGAGCCTTTGGACAAGACAACATGCTGAAATGAAAAAGTGAACAAGATGAGAAGAGGAGATCAATAGAGAAGAAAAAACACTATGCGACTCACTCACTACTCAGCGAATTGAAGGACGAGATCAGTTGACTGAGGGTAGCAGCTCTTGTTACTACTGACTAGGGGTAGCAAGTTACACATCCATGAATACAAGCCAATACATCCAAATTGTGGAGAATACAATCACACAACCAAGATACAATCTCCTAGATATACTTAATTTGAAACACAGAATATGTTAATGTAGGTTCACTGAAGAAAAACATACATAAAAAAGCTTGTAAAAACTTAAAACATACAAAACTTACAAATGAATAAGACAAACTTATAGATTGGTTGTTGGGTCATAGCATTGGTTTCACAAGTAATCAGATTACATGTAATCAACCACTTTTTTAAAGAAATTTACTATTACAATATTGTTTTGTCAAAATAACTCCTACATTAATCAAATGTTATTAAGTTTCAAACCAAATTCAATTGCAGAAAACTAAAAGACAAGTTCCCAAATCACATCATACTTCAATCAGTTTAAAGGTCATAAATAGTGCATAGCAATGTTTAGATTTTTGGGGTTTTGTATACATGTTTGGATTCAGATCAGATTCATATAATATTCTACTAGAAATATCATACAAAACTATCTCTATAAATCAGTGTGATTTGTAAAACAAATCCTAAACCTTCAAAATTGAAGCAAAAAATATATGATCAGAAATTATATATGATCACATGGAGATGAGAAAGGAAGCTGAAAATAGAGATTATATTGAAGAAGGAAGGTTACCTGATAACCATGAAAATAGAGATTATATGCAGTGTCTAGTATAAATGCTCATATTGCCCAATCTAGTGGTATGCCTTTTTCTCCTGCTGTGCTTGCAAACTGGACTCTTTGATCATCAAGAGCAACACCTACACTGTCGTTGAGCATTGAGCATTGAGACAATATACGCTGCTGAGAAACAATGCCGAAACAAATTCTCGTCTTTATATTTTGTAATTTTGAATAATAATCATAAATTTTATGAAAATCAACTTTTAACTTTAAATAAATTTTGTGAAAATCAATTTTTAACTGTAAATAGCTTGGAAATAATTTTTTCTTTGGTACTATACAATTTTAGAAGAGTTTTAAAATTTAGTGATAGTTCTATAAACTTTAATAGAAATTTTAACAAATCTTATGAAATTATTTATGATTAATACAAATGACAAATGTCATAACAAATGATCTCAATACCAAGACTTCATGAATTGCAAATGACCAATGTCATAACAAAAGCATTTTCAAAGGAGCCAAACATCTAATATTAGCAAAAAAAATCTATATATCTAATTAGGTGCTTTTGGAGTTTTGTTTCACAATATATATTGGTGATTATTCCGAAATATAGTACGGTTGAATTAAAATTCAATTCTACTTTGGAAAAATAAAGTAATACATTAGTATGTGTTCTGTCAAATTTAGATATTTACTATCACTTATTATAACTTTTAATCCATTAAATTTTAGTGTAATCTATCAAAATTATAAAGATTTTGGATCAATATGAATCAAATTATATAAATTTTAATCTGAATTGGATTAGAGGCAAACATATCAAGAATGTCCACAGAAAATTGTCTGTAAAGACAATGAAATTTGTTGTTCATAATGTGGTGGTATTGAGATCATTTCTCTTTGCTATAATAATCTTTTTAAGACTTATTTTGAAGAAATAACTCTTATAAATAATGCCACTTCTCAAAAAAAAAATATAAGTAAAGAAGACAATAAAATTTTCCAGTAAAAAAAGAAAAAAATCATTAATATTTTCTTTGTTTAGGAAATTTAATGGTTGGTTTGACAATTTTTTCCGCTTTTGGTTCGCTATCGATTCAGATTGGATGAAATCAAATCAACTTAACTTAATTACAATTTTTACTACTTCTAATAGAAAGGATATTTTTGGAAGTTGGCAAGTTGACTGTTGAGACATAATCAGAGACTATGTAACCAAAGGTCTTTTGCTCATAAAGAGACGCCAAAATGATAGCTTCACAATGTAACAATAGATTCTTGATGATGATTTAGTGGGAGATTTGTTGAACTCACATACTAGTTGAATAGTATGTCTTCGATAACCAATAACAGTGCCGTCCTGAACATTATAGAGGCTTAAGCATGTCAAGTAATTCGGCCTTTATACTACTATTTAAAATTGTCAAAAATATATATAAGAGAGAGTTGTGGATGTTACTCGAACAAGAGGGAATGAGATCACTAACAAATCCAAGATAACCATTTGAATTACATTCACTTTTGATAACTATGGCTTTATTTTTGTTTTTCTAAATGTGGTCTAAAGCCTTTGCTTCACCTGCCTTAAGGCAGGGACGACCGGATCTATAACACCATTAATAGTTAAGACCATGAGTTTATGATGATCCAAAACTTTGGAAATGATAAATGAATCAAATCTTCAGGAAGAAATTGAAGATTTAAAGCAAAAAGTGACAAGTGGTCTCTTGAGATAACCAAACTGCAACAACTACCCAACTCCACCGAAAAGATACTGTCATGCAATCTTCAATAACATCCAAGAATGTGTTAGGAAAAATCCTCCAACGTTGTCAATTTGAAACACATAATATGTTAGTGTAGGTTCACTGAAGAAAAACGTACACAAAAAAACTTGTAAAATCTTAAAACATACAAAACTTACAAATGAAGAAGACAAACTTATAGATTGGTTGTTGGGTCATAGCATTAGTCTCACAAGTAATCAGATTACATGTAATCAACCACTTTTTTTAAGAAATTTACTATTACAAAGTCAAAATAACTCCTACATTAATCAAATGTTATCAAGTCTCAAACCAAATTCAATTGCAGAAAACTAAAAGACAAGTTCCCAAGTCACATCATACTTCAATCAGATTAAAGGTCATAAATAGTACATAGCAATGTTTAGATTTTTGGGGTTTTGTATACATGTTTGGATTCAGATCAGATTCATATAATATTATACTAGTAATATCATACAAAACTATCTCTATAAATCAGTGTGATTTGTAAACAAATCCTAAACCTTCAAAATGAAGCAAAAAATATATGAACTCTCATTTTAAATAATATCTTCTTTTTTTACCAAACCGTTTTTGATACACAAAAATCAACCATTAATTGTGTATCAAAAACATTTTAGTCAATGAAAAAAAAATCAATTAAAGATTAAAATGTTTTAAAAGAAAGTTCAATCTGTTGATTTAGTTTTAAAGTTTTGATTCTTGACCACTTTTTCTATTTTTATTTAATTGCATCTTCTAGATAAGATCTTAGGTCTATTATTATAGTAAATATTAATAATCTCAATACCACGACTTGATGAATTTGCATATGATTGTTATCTAGGAAAAGCATTCTCAAATGACTGAGACAACTAATATTTACAAAATAATTAAATTATTCCAATGAAAAAAAAAACGTTTAAAATTTGCTTTGTATGGAGAATTCAGGGGTCTGTTTGATATTTTTCCCATACATATCTAGGTTTTTGGTTCGCTACCGGTTCAGATTGTGTGAAACCAAATCAAATCGATTTAATATAATTTAATTTTGGAACGACGCCGTTTGTAACTACTTCTCTGATGCGCATTTGTTATGTGCCGGACATTCGTTTCGTTATCCTCTCCAACGAGCCTAGATGTGGTGCCTACCAACTGTTCGACCTAATGTCTCAGAGATGTTCAAATGCTCTTCTCTCCATCGTTTTCATTCTCCGAGGCTTAAACCACCCACTGCTGCTAGATTCTCCACCACTTCCTCATCTCCTTATCTTCCTCCTCTATTCAGGTTTGCTCTCTACTCTCTGTCTCAGCTCCTCTATTTTCTTGATTCTTGTCTTCACTAAAGCCTTATATTTTTACTCCTCACAGCGTCGCACCGATGATGGAGTGGACAGATAATCATTACAGGACGCTTGCTCGCATCATTACAAAGCACGCTTGGCTTTACACAGAGATGATTGCTGCTCAAACTCTTGTTCACCAGCAGACCAATTTGGTATTATTACTTTAAACTCATTAAATGACTGTTGGCATGTCTTTTTATCTTCGCTAGACATGTTCCCTTTCTTGTGTGCATCAGGACAGGTTCTTGGCGTTTTCTCCGCAGCAACATCCTATTGTTCTTCAACTTGGTGGGAGCAATGTTGAAAGCCTTGCAAAAGCTGCTAAGCTTTCTCATCCTTATGGATATGACGAAATTAATCTCAAGTTAGTTTCTTTTTTTTGGCTCTGTATTTGCGTATGGAATCAAGGAACTTGAACTAGGTTTGTTTTCTTTTTTTTTGTTGAGATAGCTGTGGATGCCCTAGTCCTAAGGTAGCTGGACATGGATGCTTTGGTGTTACCCTCATGCTCAACCCCAAGGTCTGTTAGTTACTCCTCATGGTTTTGAAAAATTTGTATCTGCTCATTCTTGATGGTGCTCCCTCTCTCGCACTTGTTAGCTTGTTGGAGAGGCAATGTCTGCCATTGCTGATAATACCAACGTCCCTGTTACTGTGAAATGCCGAATTGGTGTAGACGATCATGATTCATATGATGAGCTCTGTGAGTTTTTTTTTGTTTGTTTGTTACAAATGGCTTCTGTTTAGGAGGCTCGTGTTTGGGCTGTGTCTGGACGTACTAATAATGCTTCTGTTCCTTTTACTCTTAGGTGACTTTGTTTACAAGGTTTCTACTCTGTCACCAACCAAGCATTTCATTGTACATTCACGCAAGGCACTACTTGGTGGGATAAGCCCTGCTGATAACCGGAGAATCCCTCCTCTAAAGTATGTTTTTCCCTCTATTTGGCTCTTGATTTTCGTGTTCTGAACTGAAGTTATTATGTCTTTGAAATCACCTGTTTTTTGGGCGTAGTTTAGGTACGAGTACTACTATGCCCTTGTGCGTGACTTCCCGGACTTAAAATTCACAATTAATGGAGGCATTACTTCTGTATCAACGGTGACCATCTTGGATATTAGAGACTAGATTTTTGTTCTGCACCTCATGAATACGAAGAAAACATGTTGTGATTGTTAGGTAAACGCTGCACTGAAGGAAGGAGCTCATGGAGTCATGGTAGGCCGCGCTGCATACAACAAGTATGTACAAATCTATAGCCTAGTTGATCTGAGTTCTATATCAAAGACTCTTTAATCTTCTTTGATTCGCCTTGACAGCCCATGGCAGACTCTAGGACTCGTTGACACTACAGTTTATGGTGTTCCAAGTAGTGGACTTACACGCCGACAGGTTTCATAATATTCAGTTCTTGAGCTGCTTTGTCTGCTAAACCTGTCAATTTCCTGATGGAAAAAAAACATTCTGATGTCTCTGAGTGTTGGACAGGTTCTTGAGCAATATCAAGTATACGCAGATTCTGTCTTAGGAACACAGGGAAATGGGAGGCCTAATGTGAGGGATTTAGTGAAGGTATTATGTGTAGTTTAAAGGAGAAAACCGTAGCTTGTGTCAGTGTGAAACTAATACAAGCCTCTTGTGGGAATTGAAAATGCTCCAATTCATTGCAGCCTCTATTAAACATTTTCCACTCAGAGATTGGAAATAGCTTGTGGAAGCGAAGAGCAGACGCTGCTTTCAGAGAATGCAAGGTGAGGAGTGTTCACAAGTATGATATTTTTCGTTAGTAACATCTTATAAAGTTTGTAACGTGTGATGAGGGTTGAAATCTATATTGCAGACGGTTGGGGCTTTGCTAGAAGAAAGCTTGAAGGCCATCCCGGACTCTGTCTTAGATTCCCCTATTTCTTTAAGTCCAGAGATTGGAGAAGATGATGTGTTTGCTGATGTACAGAATGTATTGCCGCCTCCCTACAAAGCTGTAGAACAAGTCATGTTATGTGCTTAGTTTGGAACACTATGCCTCACATATTTTTTAGTCTATTGTATAACCTGTGTGTTATCGAACAGAATATATAATAGTCATTTTCTCTATATAATAGGGCAATTCTCTCAAATAGCGTCGACTATTAAAATTTATTTAAATTGTGAAACATAATCATATGATAGTGATATTATTGTCCTGCATATGGTTTATCTACTTCAGATAATGTTGAACCTATAATGTTAAGAACATTGCAAAAGTAAAGTTGTTTGTTTCACTCTCCGAGCTAAACTACAGTTCTGCTGAAAGATGTCTTGGAAAATGGTACAAAAATACTAGAAACCTTATCTAGCAATTGAAAATAAACAACGCTTGGTGCTATCCTCTTCTCTTTAAAAGCTACAGGAATCTACATTTAAAGTTTATCCTTAGATTCCAACTCTTGTTCTGAATCCTCAGAGATGTCACTTATGGACAAGGATTAGGCTTGTCTGTAGCAGCAGGAGCTACTGGCTCATTGAGTTCCATATCCTCACCCAAGATGTTTTCTGTGAATTTGTTTGCCTCAAGATCAAGATGGGGCCACTCAGCAGGGCTGTTTATAGTATGTGCAAAGTGGAACGGTCGAGCGGTCAAACATGTCTCAAATATTAATATAAGAAAAATTAAGGAAAACAAAAGGAAAAATTAAGATTTTGTTTTAAAAAATATAGAGACAAACTATGATAGAAATTTTAAGATTTTAGATATATTGCTAGATTAGAAATTTATAATGTTTTAAACAACGTCAAACATTGTAATTAACTTTAAAATTTCTTCATTAAATATATTATTAATATTTTTTGAACATGGTCTAGAAATTATTTGCAATTGCCCTGCCACTCAGTTACAATTCTTTTGGCACCCTGCAGAAGAAGTACCAGATTTAACAAGTTTGAGATATGTTTTATGTTCTTACTCTTTAAAAGACTGTGGATGAATGTTTGCAAGCTCTCTCTAATGTTTTTCTTAGCAGACCATACACTGTGTTTCTAGTCCACAGTGATGGAGACTGCTTCCTACTACATCCTTGGAAATTCCTGAAGATTGTGTGGATGTATATTCTAACGAAGTTTGTGTAGTTAGTGTTGCTGCTGGAGGTCTGATTTGGTGGTTGATACACAAGCAAACGAAGAAGTTAGAGAAAAGAATAACAACAAGAAAAATAAGGCAAGAAAGAACAATGTTCCAAAGAATGCGTTAAGCTCACTGATTAAGAAAACAAACATAAAAAAAGTTTGTAAGAACTTAAAACATACAAAGTTTGAAGATAATATCACAGATTGGTTATTGGGTTTTAGTCTTGATTTCTGAAGTAATCAGATTATCTATACCATTTTAAAAAACAATTACTACTACTAATATTATTTTGTCAAAATGGCTCTAAAATTTGTTAAATGTTATCAAGTCTCAAACCAAATTCAATTTCAGATAATAAAAGACAACCTCCCAAATCACATCATACTTCAATCAATTTAATGGTCATAAATAGTGCATAGCAATATTTAGATGTTTTGGATTTTGTATACATGTTTGGATAGATCAGATTCAAATAATAATATACGTGAAATATCATACAAAATTCAATTGAGTGTCTCTCAATGAATCATGTGAGATTTGTAAAACAAAGCCTAAAACTTCAAAATGAAGCAAAAAAATTTTGTACTTCCACTTTAACCATTTTAAATTTCAGTTTTAAATAATGTGCGTCTTAATCTTCTTCTTTTTGCTTGACTAACCAGGTTTTAATATCCACAATTAACCATTATTGTCTATCAAAAACGATTTAGTCAATGAAAAAAAAATCAATTTATAAAATAAAAGGTCAAAATGCTTTTTAAAAAGTTTAATTTATAGAATTTGTTTTAAAGTTTTTATTTTTGATGACCTATTTTTTTCTTAGTTGAATTTTCCAGATAATATCTTAGGTTTATTAATACTGTAATTAGTATTAATAATCTTAGTACCACAACTTGATGAATTGTAAATGATTGATGTCTAACAAAAACATCCTCAAATGATTGAGACAACAAATATTTGCAAAACAACCTATGAAAGTTGGACAACGTCCTAACACAGAGTATCTAATGAAATGTCTTATGTTGGTGATCACTCCAAAATAAAAGATTATTGAAGTATTATTCAATTCTATTTTAAAGTATAATTCATTGGAGATGTGTTTAGGATAAGTTCCACATGCTAAGGCGCTTCCAAATAAAGGAAAACGATGGTGTTATGAGGGAGGTGATAGTGCTAACTAGACCAAATGCAAATAACCATATTGAACAACTTGCCTGATCAAGATTTGACAAACTGTTTGGATCCTTGCTAAGCGTCTCATAGAATACTCTTAGATTGTCTCATGCCGCCGTCTCTCGGAATTTAATCAAGTCAACAATGTACAGAGCACTACAAATAGAACAACACACATCAAGAATGGAAAGAAACAGCAACTTATCAAGGTTCAAGTGTAGTTGTTTTACCTGATATAGTATGGCCTACCACGTAAATGTTCTCTCCAGAAACCAATTCCTACGAGAAAGCACAGATTAGTGGTTACCTGTCTCCAAAACCGATAGCCATCCATTTCCTTGTTGTTGTCACAAAAAGGAGTATACGCGAGAGGTCTTCCTTTTATATCCATATCGTACGGTTCGCCCATGTCTGTCATTATTTGATCTGCGACAAGTATAACTTACAGAATAAGTGTAGAATGTCTTATATAGTTATAGTGACATCTTTCTTTTTTTGTAACTGACATCTTCCAAGCTTAAAAATCGCAAGTTTAAAATGAAAATATCGTAGGATCAGCCGCACCTTCTCTAATGAGAGGAAATGTAACATCTAAGAAAAGCCATATGATTTGGTCTATTTATCATTATTTAAATGATCTCTCTAAGTGATCCTTAATCAATTACAGGTAGATTTTTTTTTCTACCGAATAAACCGTTGTAAGAGAAAGAGAGACGTCAATTTGATGTACGGCTTCTCCACTTGTTTTTTTATTTCTGATTTGTTTAGCTTCATAAGATTTAAACGTCTATTAAAACAAGAAGCTATACTAATGTTATATAGCTGAGGAACTTGGATGAGAGATTATATACTGCTAAATATCTTAGGCTTACTAGTTTCCAAATATATAAAAAGGGTCACAATTTCTAAATACGGATGATGTTAACCTAATACAAGTGCTGCGTAGCTAGAACCACAACAGTAATAGGTGTCAGTTTGAAGCCTCCGTATCCACGGGAGCGTCTCCTCGAGATCAGTGTGCAGTATTTGTCAGCTTCTTTGTAAAAAGAACAATTGTATCCTCCTTCAGCGATGGTTTTTATTGTTCTAACAACATGACATGGGCAGGTGAGGTCAGAGATGGAAAATACAACTTAGTGGAGGGTCAAATTTAGCTAATAGAGAGATGGATTAACCTTACGCCTGAATCTCTCCATAGTTTGATTGACAGTGAGAGTATCAATTGGTGATGTCCATAGCCTCAGGAAAAACAACCGTTGGCCTAGCAGCTTTTTTAGAAGAGCAACACTAGCTTCTAGCTTCCTCGGCTAAAACATGATGTCCTGTAACAATACCCTTTCTAGCTGATCTCAAGGCAAAAATGAACATCTGTTTCACCGCGTTGCTTCCTGGTATGTCTTCTGAAAGAGCCACGTCCTTCAACAAGGGATAAATTGCCTCAACCCTCTCTGTAGACTGTACAGAGACCATTTGGTTGTGATCAGAATCAACAAACTCATTTAAGGTTTTAGTTTTTTTTTTTATAAATAAACTTTACCTCTACTCTTGTGGATGGAGCCACTACAAGAAAACTAAGCCATTACTAGGAAAATTTACTAGGAAAACATTTCCTCGTAAAAATACTACTAGTTTACTTCGACTTTACGAGGAAACATCTTTTCCTCGTAAGGTTCTCGTAAACTTACGAGAAAAGCGTTTCCTCGTAAAGTGGAAGTAAATTTACGAGGCTCTTACGAGGAAAATATTATTTTCCTCG